ATTCGAACGTGACTGGAACCGAGGCGTTTCATGCGTCCCCCGAGGGCTACGTTTTTGAATTATGGAGCAACGTTTTTCGAGAAAATTGTCCACCGTTGCGAACTGTTGCCTTTCTAGACTGAAACAGTTTATACCGTGTCTATTAGACACATTAAACGACGCGGTACGAACTCCTCTCGAAAAAATAAACAAACAATTCCATGGTCCTTCGTTTTTCGAGAAATTAATCTCATTAATATTGTTTCACCATCAATCTAGAATATTAGTATCTCTGGTATGACCGTTCTTAACAACTGGAAATATCGTTACGATCGATAAAACCAGTCTACTGCCAATGCACATGGAAAAATTATTTTCCTACGCGAGAATTTAATGTAAAACGTAGCTAACTCTATACTTTTCATTTCTATGATGTATGAATTTCGCTTGATGCTGTAAATTGTCAAGTTAAATGAAAGAGAAAAGTTTGCAAAGCGAAAAATCTAAAACTAGGGCCACGTTCGACAAAACAAGACACATTTTTGAATCCTGAAGTTTTCAGAAGTCCCAATCCCGTACACCTAAAGTTTCCAGGTACTTTATACCGCGTTACGACAAAATTCTCATACGTTTCGCAGCACACGAGTTCGATTGCAACTTGCGAAATAGGTTATGTTTACTGATCAAAGTTCAAAAAAAATTCACTCGCGATGAATGCGAGAATACCAACACGAGGGACTGACGACTTCTACGAAAACCGGGGTGCAACGAAATTGCTGCTCGAGGGAATCGGAAAACGAGATGAAATATTTCGAAATGAATCTTTGATTTCAAAGCGTTATGATTTAGAGAGCATGGATTAGGAGTTCACGGTTAAACGATGGTCGTTGGTAGTGACCAATGGTGACGGAAGATGGAGCTCAGGTGGTCTTTAGGAGCGAGCAGAAAAGAGAAGAAATCGTGGAGGGAACAGAGATGCCAGACGGAGCCCCGGGTGCACCGCGGACACCTCATTCCACTTTCTCACACTATGCCAGTGATGCCAGATTGAGCACCGGGTGCACTACTCACCCTATGCCAGATCACGCGTACGTGAGCTCGTAGAGTTTCGGAGAGTCGACAAAGGCAAACTGACACATGCCCCCTTTCTCGATTCTCCGAAGCTGCCCGAAGTAATTTCGGACCGTCTCGTGGGAGTCGAGAGAGGAAGGCTCATTTGCCTTCTCGCACTTGAACAACTGAAATTCGACCTCACGTCGACGGCATACGATTCCAAGTCTCGACTGGCCAGGTATTTTTTATTTTCCGACCTATGTAAGCGCACCTAAGCAAGGTACTATAAGGAAACAAAATTTTGTGAAATTTTTCTTACGGAAATACACGTTTTAAGACTCCCTGATCATATTTTAACTATTGAAAAGAAAGAAATTGTTTTTATTATTCATATGGATGAGCGAACATATGTATATCATTTCAGATATCACTTCTGATACATCTGGCAACGTATAACCATTACTACTGGCTACTGCCAGTCTCTCGCAACCTCTGCTGGCTTCTGCTGGCCTCTGCTAACCTCTGCCAGCATGTGCGGGCTTCTGCCTGCCTCTGCTGGCCCCTGCTGACCACTGCTGACCACACCTGATACTTCCGACAACGTATAACGATTACTACTGGTTACTGCCAGCCTCTCCCAGCCTCTGTTGGCCTCTCCTGACCTCCGCTTATATTTCTGACGACGTATAACGATTACAACTTGCCACTGCTTGCCCCTGCTGGTCTCTGCTTGCCACTCATTGCCACTGCTGTCATCCGCTGGCCTCCACTAGCCTCTGCTGACCACTGCTGACCACCACCGATGCTTCCGACAACGTGTGACGATTACTACATGTTACTGCTTGCCCCTGCTGGTCTCTGCTTGCCTCTGCAAGCCTCTACTGTCCCCTGCTGACCCCTGCTGACCCCTGCTGACCACTGCTGACCACTGCTGACCCTTGTTATAAACTTCTGACATGATGTATAAGTATTCAAGCCTTGTATAATGTAAATCTATGGCAATAAATGATATAATTACAAAGAATTCTATGTGTTCTCATCATTTTTTACCTTTCTTTTCCTTTCCAAATCATTGCCTTAGTTTTAAGAGACCGTTTTTCTGATTAAAATTGGATTCCCAAAGTGTCCGGCTCTCGTACTTGCTGCCGAAATCAAAAATTAACTTTTAAATTTTTTTTCTCTAACCGTCACTCTCGTACCTGTTGGCAAAATCGAGAATTCATTTTTTTCGTCAAAAAATTTTTGCTCGAAAATCTCGCCGATTTCCTAAAAAGTCCTGAAACAGCTGGAAAGTCCTGAAACAGCTGAAAAGCCCTGAAACAGCTGGGAACCCCTGAAACAGCTGGAAAGCCCTGAAACAACTTGAAAGTCCTGAAACTCTTTGGAATTTTTGAACCAGCTGGAAAGTCCTGAAACAGCTGGAAAGTCCTGAAACAATTGGAAAGTCCTGAAACAGCTGGGAAGTCCTGGAATTTCTTGGAAACGCCGAAAATTCTTGGAAACCCTGAATTTTTAGCAAAGTTCTGAGTTTCAGGACTTCCGAGGAGTTTCAGGGAGTCTTATAACTAAGGTAATGATTTGGAGAGGAAAAGAAAGGTAAAAAATGATGAGAACACATAGAATTCTTTGTAATTATATCATTTATTGCCATAGATTTACATTATACAATGTTTTAATACATATATATCATGGCAGAAGTTGTTAACAAGGGTCAGCAGTGGTCAGCAGTGGTCAGCAGTGGTCAGCAGGAGTCAGCAGGGGACAGCAGAGGCTTGCAGAGGCAAGCAGAGACCAGCAGGGGCAAGCAGTAACATGTAGTAATCGTCACACGTTGTCGGAAGCATCGGTGGTGGTCAGCAGTGGTCAGCAGAGGCCAGCGGAGGCCAGTGGATACCAGCAGTGGCAAGGAGTGGCAAGCAGAGACCAGCAGTGGCAAGCAGTGACAAGCAGCGGCAAGCAGTAGCCAGTCGTAATCGTTATACGTTGTCAGAAATACCAGGAAAGGTCAGCAGCGGTCAGCAGAGTCCAGCGAAGGTTGGCAGAAGTCAGTAGTAATTGTTATACGTTGTCAGAAATATAAGCGGTGGTCAGCAGAGGCCAGCAGAGACTGAGAGAGGCTGGCAGTAACCAGTAATAATAGTTACACGTTGTCGGAAGTATCAGGTGTGGTCAGCAGTGGTCAGCAGGGGCCAGCAGAGGCAGGCAGAAGCCCGCACATGCTGGCAGAGGTTAGCAGAGGCCAGCAGAAGCCAGCAGAGGCTGCGAGAGGCTGGCAGTAGCCAGCAGTAATGGTTATACGTTGCCAGATATATCAGAAGTGATATCTGAAATGTTATACATATGGACGCTCATCCATAGGAATAATAAAAACAATTTCTTTCTTTTCAATAGTTAAAATATGATCAGGGGGTCTTAAAACGTGTATTTCCGTAAGAAAAATTTCACAAAATTTTGTTTCATTATAGTACCTTGCTTATGTGCGCCTACATAGGTCGGAAAGTAAAAAATACCTGGCCAGTCGAGACTTGGAATCGTATGCCGTCGACGTGAGGTCGAATTTCAGTTGTTCAAGTGCGAGAAGGCAAATGAGCCTTCCTCTCTCGACTCCCACGAGACGGTCCGAAATTACTTCGGGCAGCTTCGGAGAATCGAGAAAGGGGGCATGTATCAGTTTGTCTTTGTCGACTCTCCGAAACTCTGCGAGGTCACGTACGCGTGATCTGACATAGTGTGAGAAAGTGGAAATAGGTGTCCCCGGTGCACCCGGGGCTCCGTCTGGCATCTCTGGGAGGGAAGCATTCCCGTTGGAAGGATGGTTTCGACCCAGTTTCACCCTCCCTTGGTGGTGGTACCGTCGCCAAGCAATCGATACTGCGCCTAAGGGCCACGGTGCCGTGCTCTATCAGTACGAAAACTATCGCTATAGTCTAAGTAGAAACGATAATTAGAGTTTCACAAAATTACGTCACTTTCCTTCCTTCTTGCCCCACCAACCGCTGCTTCCTACATTTTTCTCCTTACCTTTTTCCTCTAAATTCTACAGAATTAAATACGTACACGCAAGCATTCGAATTAACAGTTCATCCTCGCAAACACGCGAGATTCATATTCGTTAAGAGCTCCCATTTAAGCCTTTTCGTTTTGAGATTAACGGGGAAACCCATTTCTATTATACTTAAAAGAATGAGAGTATTTTAGGACACCAGTTACAGTCACAGTCGTTCCTTGTACTGTTGCTGTTCCTGTTACTGTCACAGAATTCTCGGTAGAACAATACCACTCGGTAATATGATGAGTACCACGAGCCATGATTTTATTTTGTAGACAGTGATTGCCAAATTAAATCGAATTTTCGAAAGAAATAAATGATTGAAAGAATTTTTTCGTGATAACGAACATTCTGCTTATTAGGTTTATAAATTTCGTGGAACACCAATTAGACGTAAGTAATATTTCCTTCGAACAGTAGACGTAAACTGTTAAAAAGATTAATCGTATTAGGAGGTTGCATTGAAAGCTGGTCACGTTTAAATGGCTCTATCCGCGTATTCTGTGGACAGCGATAGATGTCTCTTACGTCATTTCAAAGTGTAAACATTTCCGTTTGGTGGGATATGAAGTTGTTTACTATGAGGTGTTGAAACCGAACGAAATAATTACTGCAGAAATCGCCAAAAAGTGATTCTCCTCCATGACAACGGTAGGCCCCATGTTGCTATAGCTGTGAAACAAAGATTGATGAAGCTGGAATAAGAGATTCTCCCACACCCACCGTACTCACCGGATCTGGCCCCCAAGTGATTTTAATCTTTTTCGATCAATGCATCGCGCTTTGGAAGATACACATTTCCATAATTACGAAGGAGTCAAAAATTGCCAGAAAAATGGGAGAAAGTCATAGTTTCCGAGGGCAAATACTTTGATCAAGGTAATAATACATTTTATTACTGAAATAGATATTCAAAGATCACAAAAAAGCAGCGGCTTTCAATGCAACCTCCTAATAGTATATAAATATGTTTCTAATGAAGTTAGGATTGGTTAATTTCGTTAAACTGTTAGACACGTCGACGACATTTGGTGTTAATGCGAACAGATACTAAATGAACAAATGAATGACCAAATTATTTATTTTGTATCAAATTGAAACTGAGAATAACAATTCCATTCGGAAAGTAAAATTGCCGAACATTCTCTTACGCGAATTACATGGAAACCCGCAAGACGCTACCAACACATTCGAATGAATCTATCGCAATAAATTGAAATTAATTTTATTCGAAATCACTTCAGAATTTAAACAAATATAAATCTATGAAAGAACATTCGAATTTTACATATCGTTCTATTAGTTAACAACAGATCCTTGTTTAAATTCACTAGCTTCCAGCATCGTGTTCGAAATGGGAATCGAGAATTTGTTAAGGCTACTCTTACATCTGTAACCGCGATGTAAATTGTGCGTAATGAGACAGTTACTCATTATCGAGACCGTGCAATGTTGATAATACACATAGTGGGCGGATGAGATCACGCATACTGCAAACAGGACGTCACACTATTCTTTCCTATTTATTTAAAATTTCTCGAGTTACGAAATAGGATTCGTGGCGAATTAAAAATGCATTTTTTTTTTCTGTCCCTCCGTAGCGCAAGTGGTGTAGCGTAAAAGGAAAGGAAGTCGCGTGAAAAATGTAGGAGGTTGAAGCAAAAGGAGATCTTGTTTCGATTATTTAACCTATATATTGCTACGCGAACTCGTTATTATATCAAAAGTTCGAGCAACGGTTTCATAAATAGAAATTCAACATGTACCGCAATATTTATCGAAGCATTCTTGCAACGTTCACATACCTTTCAAATTATATTCGTAACTGTTTCTTTTTTTTTTATTCTATAGACGTACATTAGAAGTTTTTGCTACAGTCAACATCTTTCGCTAGAGCTCACACATTTTTCGATTTTAATTTATGCAATTCACTATCAAACTAAAGTAATAACTAACGATTACCTCTTTTAAATATTTACACTTGTATCATTAGTCGGTCATATATAATACAAACTTGCATTCTGCTGTTTAACGGTTGCTAGTAATAACATCCTGATGCGTATTAATCTACTCTCTGACTTCCTTGTTCTCCTTTCAACCGTCCTTTGCGATTCAGATCGCATACGAAGTAAACGGCAAAATATTGTAGCGTGCAACGACCTCTAAATTAAGAATCAAAAAAAAGCATCTTCGTAGCTGTTCGAGGTCGTCGACGAGTCGCGTACCCAAGATCCCTCGAAACTAGGGAGACTTTTTCAACGGAAATAACGTTAGCTGCGTGTACAGACGATAAGTGATGCGAACTTGTCACTATATGCATGCTTGTGCACCATTCTCGAAAAGTTACTTACGTCTCTAACCCTTCATCCTTGTGACGGTTAACAGTCTAAAAATAGAGACCACAATTGTTCTTGTACGAGATAAATGGAGAAAGTCATGCGAAAATTCTAGTTCATAAATAACAGGGTAAAACGTATGATGTCAGAACAGAAGAGGCGAGTGTGTAATTATTACTTATGACTCGTACAACACGATAGTCACGATGTTTCTTTTTAAACGTCACGCGTTTAGTAGAACTTTCCACGTATCGATGCTTAATAACCTATACCAAGTATGTTTGCGGTTGGAACTTTCCAGGCGACTCGTTCCCCTCCCATGCGCCGTTGCAAAAATAACAAAAAAGAAAAAAGAACATCGCGTGTTTCCGCTTCTGCTAGTCATTTCACTTATAAGATAAAAAAAAAAAAAAAAAACGTTGAACTAATATTCGCGGAAAATGTTCGCAGTCGATACGCCCTCGTAATAGCGTTTCGTCAGACGGCGGATAGATACCCCATGGCCACGGGACAGAGCGGGAGGAAATACTAAGCACCGGAGCTTAGTTCTGGACATTCCTGTCCTACGTGTTTCTCTTCTAAGCTCGATGATTTATCGTACAAAACAGCGTACGAAAATTTATGAGACAATCGTATCTTCCTGAAACATTATCGATTATCATCTGCTTTTAAATGCTAAAATTTCCAGAAAACAGACGTTATGGAATTAAAGCTGTATATAAATAAAAATACGAGTTGCGGAGATCGTTCTTAAGATGCAGCCGTTAACGCCAACTGCTCCCTCTCGTTTTTTTCCACGGCCGCCACGTGATCGGGTTTTTCCCCACGAGCGTAACGGTCCCACATTTTTCTGTACAGCATTTCCATACCCAACGCGTACAGCTTACAACTGAACAAAGGACTCTCGGATCGTGCTTTCCATACCTTGGCTCTTGTTGCTTTCAAGCTAAAGGAGGAAGATAAAACAGTGTCGACTATCAAATTAGAAAAATACACTGAAGCATCAAGAACAATTTACTTACTATTCCCTGTCGGTTCCTAAACGAACAGCAATGTCTTGGTACTCTTGTCGTGTTCGTGCCACCAACTCGGGGCATCCTAAGGTATTCAACTGACTAGCAGCAACGCGAGACGCTAACGTTTCACCTGGCAGCGTGACCACTGGTGTTCCAGTCCACAAAACGTCCATGCTGGTGGTATGGCCGTTGCAAAGCGGCGTGTCCAGGCATACGTCGGCCAGTTGTCCCCGCCTGACGTGTTCCTCTTTGGCAGCGACGTTGCTGAACAAAATTCTACCAGGCGACAGACCTAACTGTTGAGCGGTTGCCTGTAAGTTCGGTTCGCCGACAGCCGGGAAGCGCAGAAGCCACAGCACGGAATTTGGCACATGCTTTAAAATGTGCGCCCACATGTGAAGCGTGAGCGGATCGATCTTGTACAACTGATTGAAGTTGCAATAAACGACAGCATCCTCCGGTAAACCGTACTGTTGTCTCGTCGTGATCACAATGTTCTGAGGTACTTCTTCACCTGTAGCTGTCTTGTTGTTCACTTGCGTGGTGGCCATACCGTTTTGAACCACGACGCCATTCACGGACATTTGACATTGTCCAGAAGCGATCATCGTCTCGATAGGAGTGGTGGTTGGCAACTCCGCGACTTTCAACGAGATTTCTACTGGCTTGTTCTTAGCATCCGGCACCACTACCTCGCGAATCTCTTTTACCAATGTATTCTCGATCATCGGAGAAAGATCGGTAGCGTTTATAACGGCTACATTGTCCGCCACCTTGCCCTTCATGTTTAATTTGTCGGTTAAGATGAGGCGTTCCTTAAGATGCGGGAACATTTGTTTATGATCTCCTATGAAGTACGTGTGCGGCATGTACGCAAGTTTCTCGCTGTACTGACTAGCAAGTTCCAACGGCGACGTGACTTCGTCCGTAATTAAATAGTCCATGAAGCTCGCCCCCGACGTTCCCGGGTATCCAAGCCACATCACTTGAATTGGTGCTGGTCGCAAAGCAAATATTTCGTTTCTAGCGCCCTTCGTATACCCGTTCATGTTAACCAGAATATGGATTCCGTCGGAGTTAATACGATCGGCGGCCTTCTCGTTGCACGGAATTTGAGACAAATCGATAAAGTGTTCGGACTCTCTGGCGATCTTTGCTCGAAAGGTCGTTCCATCGTCGGAGCTGAGAGCATAGCAGTAGATCTCGACGCTTTGTCGATCGTGAAGTCCCGGAATCGACTGCATGAGATGGCTGGTGGGATGGTTCCCAAAGTCTGACGAAACGTAACCGATTCTCAAGCGGGCGCCGATCTCGCGCGGATACTTGTACGGCTGTTTGTGCAAAACGTGAATCTTTTCTATGCAGAGATTCGCGTGTCTAGCTGCAATAGCTTTCCTGAACTCGTGAGACAACGGATAGAGCATGGAATGATGCGGATGTACGCTGGGTAGTCTGTTCTTGTCCAGCTGCTCGGCGACGATCGAGACCAATTTCTTCATTCTTGCCTCGTAGTCGGTCCAGTCGCAGACGATCTGAAGGCAGTGGGCCAAATTGCAGTACGCGTCTGGAAAGTCGGGCTTCAATTTCAGAGCTGTTCTGTACGATTGGATCGCCTCGGGAATGTTCCCTGAATCTTTGTGTATCGAGGCTAAATTGGAATGAGCGTCGGCAAAAGCGGGATTAATTTGAATGGCTCTCGTGTAACATTGAAGGGCCCCTTGTATATCTTGCATCTCCTTCAGGGTGTTGCCCATATTCGAATAAGCATCAGCGAAAGTCGGCTGAATGCGAATAGCCTCTTTGTAATGCATCAGTGCTTCGTTCAATTTTCCTTGCTGCTGTAACACGGAAGCGAGATTGCTATGAGCTGCCGCGAACTCGGGAAATACTTCGAGCGCTTTCAGATAGAGTCGTGTTGCTTCCTCTATGTATCCTTGTTCCCTTTTTATGTTGGCCTGAAACGGATATGTCGTTTGTAACGAAAAAGAGCTCCCTAACGCATTGTGGATACTTGGAATTGAATAGTAATGAATATTTGATAGGTACCAGATTATTAAGGGAATCGGCGTGCGATGGGCAGAGGCGAAGAGCGGTATTGTAGCAGTCCTCGGCCTCCACCACTTGTCCCTTCTCCTTGAGCGCATTTGCCAAGTTGCAGTAAGCATCTGGGAAATTCGGTTGCAGTTCAATGGCACGGCGATACGTGTCGATCGCCAAGTCGATGAGCCTGCAATATCGTTAATTAATATTCCGTTCCGCTATCGTTCGACGGATTATCGCGAATTCTTGTGGTCAACTCACCCTTGCTCGTAGTAGACACACGCTAGATTTCCGTGTACCACAGCATTGTTGGGACTGAGATTTAAAGCACGCAGATAGGCAGCTACAGCTCTGTTGCAACAAACACGATTTACACGAGATGAATTAATATTACAGTAATGGTGGAAAGGAATGTTTATATTAGAATAATCCGTGTTACAAGATATACGAAAGTTCTATTCTCCTGGGAGAAATTGTAATGGGAGATTCTGAAGACCAAAATAAGACGAAAATCAAGAATATCAATTTCTTGACTGAGGCTTCGTTAATGAGTTAGTAAGTTATTAAAAAATTAAATTAAAAAATTTTTAATCATTCTGAAAAAATTATTTTCGGTTGCGGGGGTCAATTGCAATCATTTTTGGTGAATACACATACCCCCGAAATCCTATCCACTTTCGAGAAAAAAATTCAGGTAGGTGCTGAAATTTTTTGGCGAAAAAAAATTTTTCAAATCATTTAAAAAAAATTATTTTCGGTTGCAGGGCTAGATTACAATCATTTTTGCCCATTACACATACCCCCGAAATCCTACGCATTTTCAAGAAAAAAAATTCGAGAAGATGCCTAAATTTTTCGACAAAATTAAAAAATTTCAAATCGTTCTGGAAAAATTATGTTCGATTGCAGGGGTCAATAACAATCATTTTTGGTGAATAGACGTACCCCCGAAAACCTGCGCATATTCGAGAAAAAAATTCAGTACGGGCAAAACTTTAAATGTTAATAACTTTTTAACGTGGCCTCCATCAACAAATTGGTATTCTTGATTTTCGTCCTATTTTGGCCTCTAGAATCTCTCGTTAAAATTTTTCCCAGGGGTATATGTACACGCGTTAAGAAAGAAAATAATTATTACGAAGATGCGTTGGTAGTAATTCGTTAGAAACGCTTTTTGAAACAACGATAAAACGAGACGAATTTTCGATCACTTTGAGATGCTGTACTCGTGCACTTGCGGCGACACCGGAAGCCGAACACGTGCGACACGTGCGACACGTAGCTATATCTCGCAACGTGTCACGAGGACAACCACCACCGGCGAGTTACGAAGAAAACCAGTGTCGGAATTAACCTTTTTACGCTATATTTAAACCAAGAGACGCATCCAGGGGTCGAGGTTCGTGCTAGGGCTCGCTGTAATTGCACGCGTAACGAGGGTGCGATCGTAGTCGAGGGCGAGATCACCGTGTACACGACAACGCACTGGCAGTCCATTCCTTCTCCATTTCGGTATTTCGATTGACGGGACAATCGTTTAAATACGCGAAAAAATTGAAAACAGGCGACCACTGTTCTCGGATCTCTGTCGCGACATTTCTAGCCACGGGTCACGTTTTCGGCGATATTCAATCCCGTTAAGGACGGTGCACCCTCCCGCGAGAAGCAAAGGGTTCTCGTGGGGGCGGAGCGAATCTTGGAATCGATAGTTGTCGAGAGTTTCGACCGCTGTTGTGCGTAGCCACTAGGAGTCAGCTGTGGACCACGAGTACGCGTAAATAGCGAATCTGGACTACGTTACACGCATGCCACTTCGGCGTTCAGCCAAGTCCTTTTCAATTCTTCTACGTCGAAAGGCACGTATAGTACTCGAGGCCTCGAGTCTTGGACGACAACGCGCGCAAATCTCCTCAAAATTTAATTGCAAAACGTGTCGTAAAATAACAAATATAAGAATAGCAAAGAATTTTTTTTCTCGAAAGTGCATAGGATTTTTAGGTTATGTGTATTCACCACAAATTATTGAAATCGACCCCCGCAATCGAAAATAATTTTTCCAGATCGATTTGAAATCTTTTAATTTTGTCGAAAAATTTGTCCACCTCCCTGAATTTTTTTCTCGAAAATGCGTAGGAATTCGAGGGTATGTCTAATGACTAAAAATGATTGCAATTGACCCCCGCAACAGAAAATAATTTTTCCAGAACGATTTCAATTTTTTTTTTTCGCCGAAAAATTTGTCCACCTTCCTGAATTTTTTTTTCGAAAGTGGGTAGGATTTCGAGGGTATGTCTAATGACAAAAAATGATTGTAACTAACCCCCGCAACCGAAAATATAATTTTTCCAGAACGATTTGAAATTTTTTAATTTTATCGAAAAATTTCTTCACTGACCCCTTGTTGAAATGTTGTTTAATACTTTTTGATATTAATGTTTATACGTTATACGTAATATACTTCCTACGTATTACTGTTGCAACAAAGAATTTAGTTCGATCGGAAAGTTTAACGGTACGAAACCCATAGCTTTCGAAAACGTACGGGGAATTGCAAAAATGTACGTGCCTCGCGAAAGAAGGGGACGAAGAACGATGAACTTGAAAGGACGTTGTATGAATATCGATTCGGTGTTTACACGACCACTCATGCGCTTTTGCTCGCGATTTCTTAACGCGCGTATTCAGAAGTTGTCCGCGTGAAATTTTTACGACCTCGTTGATCTCTTTCGCTGTGCCCATGCACGAAGCACTTTTTATTCCGACTCGTTGAACGTTACCATTCTCGGAACGAAACTGCGACTGAATCTTTAATCTTCCACGCAAAACTCGTCGCATATTCGTTATTACATAACTGTATGACATTTTACCACCATTAACGTCTTGGCAGGACGTTAAAGGAATAACTATAAGGCCATTATTTCTCTAGCACAGACTTTAAAACCGACGCCAATACTAATCAAAGACGACGATCGATCAAACTGTGCAACGATTATCTCCTAAGTTTCAATTGCTAATCGTTTGCAACGGTGCAACTGTTGTAAACTTCTTTCTACCGATTCTTTAATGAGGCGTAAATATTTCAGCGACTTCTAGCAAAACGTATAGTATCCATATACATTGTATATACAGGGTGTTTAGCCACCCCTGGGAAAAATTTTAATGGAGTATTCTAGAAGCCAAAATAAAACGAAAATCAAGAATACCAATTTGTTGATGGAGGCCTCGTTAAAAAGTTATTAACGTTTAAAGTTCCGCCCGTTAAACAGCTGCGCGCGCATGGTGCTCACTCAGCGTGTGAAACTCTGCTTTAAACGTCAATAACTTTTTAACGAAGCCTCGATCAACAAATTGGTATTCTTGTTTTTTATTTTATTTTGGCCTCTGGAATCTCCTATTCAAATTTTTTCCAAGGTTGACTGAACATCCGGTATACCATAAAACGGATGTAGAGACGCCTGGTGAACTTTGTCTCACCTATCGAAGATTCTGGCCTCTTTAAGCACGTTGCCAAGATTGATGTATGCGTCCAAGAAGTTCGGATCCAATGCCACCGCCTTCTCAAAGTGGTGAATCGCCAGCCATATTTCCCCCTGGGCATTGAACACGCAGCCAAGATTGCTCCAGGCGACGGCAAAGTCTGGACGCGTTTCGATCGCCTTTAGATAGCAAGCCTAGAGACAAACGGAGGATTAGAGGTAATGTTCGCGTACTGTCAGAGACGCGCCGCGCTTCTTGCCCGACCTCTCCTCGCCGCGCCGCAGCTTTCACACATTCACCACCATCGAAAACCTTCGATACCAACAGTTACATCATCACCATCGTCCTCTCTGTCACCATTTTCCTCTGTCCTTTCCTCCCTTGCACACCTTTCTCGCGTTTCTCGAATCGATCGACACATTGCGTCACAACCGCGTCAACCATCGATACACTTGAACGATACAATTCCCCCAACGACGACTGGTTTCTACCGTGAGCTTTTATCCGATTATCCCTATCGGGTTCCCGGCGATTCTGAACAAGCTCGTACGGTTACATTCGTTAAAAAACACGCTCGCGTCTCTGGCGAGATGATGAAAGCTCGCGATAGAAACACCAACCGAATTGCAAGTTCGTTGTGCAGCGCCTTGTTGCCTTACAAATTCTATTAGAAACAGTCATAAATCCAAGCAAACAAGAGTATCGAGCGTAAGTTAATTCGAGCGGACGTATCGATCGATCGATAGGCAGAGTTTAAATAGTTTAAGCTGAAAGCTTTACACGTCGAAGCTTCCTTTGATCTCTGATCTTTCTGCTGTTCGCAGAGCGGTACTGTAACGTTCCGAGGAGAACGGAGAACGGAAACTGGGGCAGAGAGAACGAAGCACATTCTGCGAGTCGTGTAAACGTGTAACGGGGATTCAGGGATGCGGTGCCAGGTTGGGAAAAGGGGTTACGAGGTGCGCGTTAAAAACGTCGTCGTGTGAACGCGAGCGATACGGATGTCTGGTATCTCGTGTCCGTCGATTCTCCGAAATGCGTCCGGTGGACTCGACAGGCACGCAGCACACCAATTTCGCCGTCAGCATGATCACGGTCGTGGTCGTTCGGTGTGTCGACCCTTTTTTTTCTGTAGACAGTATTAAAGAAATTTTCCAATTGCCCCTTTTCGCGGCGACGACGCTTCCAAGGATCACAGCGGGGACGTGCATCGCGCGTGCCGAGAGGCGGGCTGCGTCATGTAAAACAGAGTAATCCGTACCTAAACAATAAGTAAACGGGCATTTACAGTCGGCCGGTCTCTATGCGGGACACGGTTAGAGAAGGGTGGACGGGCGGTGGGTGGTTTGGCCAGGTCAAAGGAGAACCGGAACAAGACGGAAACGAAGTCGAGAAACGAGCTTTTAAACGCAACCGCCCGGCAGGCACCGTTTCAGCGAGTGAAACGGAAAAATGGTTCACAGTTCGTAACGGTTTAAGTTGTAAAATTGAGAGATTGCAATGCCACATGTACGCGTCTTCTCGTAAGGCCAGTTAAAATAGAACCGACGTTCGAGTCTCGTGGAACATGGGGGAGACCAATAATTGTTATCGGTAGACCGATGGGATTGTTCAGAGACCGGCCTTGGGAATTACTTTACCTGCAGTGTACCCTTCGGTAGGTTGACGGTAGGTACGGCTCGCAAGCTCTCATAATAAACTTAGACCGAGAGACAGTGTGTTACTGAATAACCAGATTCAGATTCACCCCTTTGACGAAGGAACCCATGGTAACCGAGACCAATCACATTGCTCCGACTTCCCCTCCTAGAGTTGATCATCCCATCCACAACAATAAGACAGCTGCGTTAATGTCTCTTCACTGATACTCTTCGCCTCAACTTTTGTCTTTTTTTTACTTTCATTTCTTTTTTAAAATACGTATATAGAGGTAGTACACCTAGCCGTGCGTGCCGATTCACAGGCACGCTTTCGCTGAGCACCGTCAGCCACCATTTTGGAACCGCGGAGGCGTTGGCCTTAAAGTTTTGTTCATCGATTCTACGTTAACACCTCGACCGGTCTTTGGTTTTCTATTAATATTGGAACTGGCGAATGTTCTTTATGGCGCAGACTTGTATTTTTCTGAAATCGTCTGGTGGCGAAACGTACTGAGCGAAACACGATCAAGCGTACTAGAAAGCGCTCAAGAGTGGCAGGAAATTCAGCGGAAGGCCTTCCTCGATGCTGCATTGTGATTCACCGACAAGCTTGTTCCTACAGAGAGCATTGCACGATCAACGCGAAAAGACTGATGTACCGATACAAAACACTGTTTTCGATCGACTGGTAAACTCTTTGAACACTCGTATTGTCTGCATTTGGCTTGCTTGTCAGTCATCACCGCGCCGCGCTGCTGTGAAAGAAGCAGACCACTTGACTCATTTTGTTCAATTATAAATAGGATCGACGAAACTCTTAGGAGTCGAAAAAATCCCGTGAGTTTCCAACCGAAGAAACACATTTCCGTTCATGATCGACAAAGCAGTTACTTATTTTTCTTCTAAATGAAACACCGCGATAAGGAAGGTCCGTCAAGTGATCTCGCGCTATTATTCATCACCGTACACACAAATTTGATTACTCTCAAAAAGTTGGAAAGAAAAGGTGTCACATTTGTCCACGTATACGTAACGAATCTGTATACCTAAAGTTAAATACACATTCAGAATGAGCTAAATCAAATGAGGATGAACTTAACTGCTATAGTCGCGCGCTGCCGATCCTATCGTAGCTAGTTACGTGTTTAAAGAAAAAAAAAAAGGAACTAAACCAGAAAACTCCGTGTATCGAGAGTTCGAAAGAGATAAAAAAAAATGTATATGACCGTTCTTGCTGTAATAGGATCAGCAATTGCGGCAAAAATTTGCAATAACACCAAGAGACGAAGAGAATATTCCGTTGCTGTTCGTGACCGACGGTGTTATTACAAAACGCGCTATGCCAAGAGGGATTTGAAACTCTTTTCAGCTAGTTCTAGACCAAAAACCCTCGTGGTGCCGCGTTTGATGCCGATCATCCTCGTTGATCCTTCGTCAAAAGGATGAACGAGGAAACATCAAACACGGCTGTTCAATTGGTTAGGTGGAGGAGAACGCGTGCGATCTACGGTCCGCTATCGAAATTTAGATCTCGTTTCGTGGCGAAAAACGCGCACGCTAGGCGATTTCGATGGCGGGCCACCGCACGCCGCGCATACATTTTGCACAAAGAGAAAAGGCTTTCCGTTTGAACGACGCGGATAATCCGCAAATTCCTAGCCATTCCACAGAACAGCTAACTAGCGCCCGTGCACATTGTACGAGATGTATTCGTACCTTGCCAAAGAGCTAATCGACTAGGGTTTCTCGGCAAGCGGCCAACAATCCTAAACTTTGACCATGGTACGAATGCATACGAATACGTGCATCACACGTCGATTTAATTTACAACAACGGTGACGACCGCCGGCGAAACCTACCTTGGCTTCGTCAAGTCTTGCTAATGCTTTCAAAAGATTACCAAGATCGCTTCTCACGCAGTAGAGATCCTGTAACACGTAAAGGCGCAACAATGTTTAAAATATTTTCAGAAAAGCGGTGCGACCGGTTGTACGCTAGTTGCTTAAAAATTTAATTTAACAATGATAGTTTTCTCACAGGGTTGTATTGCAAAGCAGTCACGTATGCTTGAACAGCTTGTTCCATATCCCCTGCAGCCACCAATGCAGCTGCAAGATTGATGTAACCATCGATGAAATCCGGTTTCAATCTGACCGCGTGTCTGTAGTTTTCTAAAGCTTCTTGCAACTGACCACGCTCCTTGAAAACATTTCCAAGGTTGCTGTAAGCTTCTGCCAACAAAGGATTCTGTTTTATCGCTAAGCTACTGTAATGAGCAGACCTGAAACATATGAAGAGAGGTTTATTAATATTACGGGTAAATTGAAATCGATTTAAAAAATGAAATTGTAACACTTACTTTTCTAGCCTCCTGCATTGGAAATGGATCGAAGATAACAACAAAAGAACTCCCGTGTTGTTCGTCTCCTGCCGCCAAAGCTGCATGCAATGTCGCTCTGCATTTTCGTAGTCACCAGCTTGATACTCCCTGTGGGCAAGTTCCAGTAGCCCTAAAAAAATAAAAAGACGAATTCGAACATTTTAAACGGAATAAAAATTTATTAATATTTTACGAAACATTTCCCTATCGAATCATTAAACGTAGGTCGGTCGGGAGAAGATTCACAAAGTACCTATCGGGTTTCAAGCGGAAGCACGTGTGCTTATTAAATAATTTCCGTATGGCTAACCTCATTTACATCGACATAAATACTTTTACTAATATCGCATATTTTTTTTTTTAGAAAATGCGTACATAACGTTTACATACTCCAGTAAACGGATAAAACGATAAAAACCAGAATTGCGCAAAATGTTAAAGGATGACGCAAACGAGGCACAAGCATAAAGATGGCGGCTTCCGTCGTGTATTCAAACAAACGATGTAAACGCCGAACTTCGAAGCCTCGCGTACAATCGTCATGAGAATACTTTTAAAAATACGAAATATTCGTCCGCATAATATAATATTATGCTTATTACGACCTACGGTACAAAACAAAGAACCGATTTGCTTCAACGAAGGCACGTTGCGTTCTATGCTTGATCGCATTCCCTAATACAGATTACGCATTTGTACCCCGAACCTCCATAAAAAACAATATCGATTTTCGTTTGTAACTCGACTCGCCGTGAAAACGAATGCTACGGGGAAGGAAAAGCGGTAGACAAACAATACGAACAGTAAGAGTCGACTGCGACGTTAATGGTCTGATTGTCGGCGATCGCGATAAGCTCTTTGCCCTGAGTATCCTGTGTAACAACCAGCAGATTTTGTCCGTTTGGCCATTCGACGGTTCCACTGTAAACGTCCTCGGTGCCGTTGACCACGCTTCCAATTACTCCGTTTGAACTTTTCAGAACAGACTCTTTTTTCTTCTCCACCAGTCTCAGACTCATTTTGCTAACGAATTTTCCTCGGTTCGTTGCTCTGATCCCCCGGCACACCGCGCGTATACAGCCACACACGCCGTTTCCAAGCGACTTTCTCGACGAACGAAAAATTGATGCCTCGATCGTTTTCTACGAAGACGCCTTCAGACCGATCTCGAGACGCTTTATTTATTTAACTGCGCCCACTTTCGCCGCGTTTCTTCGTATTACGATCTCTAGTCACACCATTTCGACACGATAGTTATTAACTCCTTGACTCTGTACACACTGAACCCGCCGTATTCCTGTATGAGAAATCATTCTGGCCAGGTTATCCCCGCCAGATCGAGCAGCGAGCTGATTGGTTCGTTCGACCACTATGGCGGACTCCTGCGTCGCTGGGGTGAAGACGAAGGGGGCTGAGGGGAAGCAAGGAGGACACCCGGCTCAAGAGCGTCAACACTGAACTTGGTGCCTTGCGACTTTTATTCGGGATTCCACGATATCGTTACACAAAATTGCTCAATTTCTCGAGTGGATACTCGAACACGCCTAATCGGCCTTTCAATTTTAATAACAACTTGCTTGTTCAGCGATTTCAAATACGAAGAACTTCCGACTGTTTACGGGACTCGTCAATGTCGAGTTATTTTTAGCAAATAAAAACGCAAAAACAACTACCCACACCGGAACGCGTTAACGTATTAGCAATACTGTCGATAATATTCTGTTTTTATACAACGCGATTGGGCAATCCAAATTATATCAGACAATTTCGGATTTTGGTCCTTCAAGAAAATCGTGCTTTTTTTTATCTCAAATAAGAAGTATCAATTACAAAGAATTTTCTAAAGCAAACACGTTTAATACTTTAGTGTAAATGGAAAAACATCGACGATTCCCGGGGCACATGTAACGCTCTACGTGACTGGGCGCGCAAAGAAAGCTTACCAGTAGTTCTCATCCGATATTAAAGAAAACAGATTGCTTTTAACAAGTAACGTACGATTCGTTGCTTTCATCCGCAAATACCTTCACTCGATTGTAATTTTAATCTCAAAAATTGCAAGACTCGTTAGAAGGTTAAAGAAACGTAACATATGCTTGTTGGAATAGTAATATTGTAACGGTGAAAAATCGTCACAGTGGAATTTTGAGATTTAAAAATTACGAACAAAGAAGAAGCAGTGATAAACATGATACGAACTAAACATAAGCGAATATTTTTATTCGTGAGAATATACATCACAGGAGGAGAAATCGACAAACGTTGCGAAGAACCACTGATTATATATATATGTATATATATATATATATATCGAAGGGACTGTTGCCCCCACTCTACCGCGCGGAAAGCAGATGGACTAGGTACCCAGTGGAATATTCCATCGTCGCTTTGAGGAAGCGGGGATGGCGGACTAGGGAACGGGGGGAAAGAAGAGCTTAAGGGAGAATAGGCTCAAACAGGGGAGAAAACTATAAGCCAACAACGGTAAAAACAATAGTGCTGCAATTCGTGCACACTGCCAAATAAAATTACCGGACGACTCTACAATCGTCCGATGCTAATTCTACGTTTGAACAATTTAAGCACATCGTTTTCTTTAAAAGCCGTTTATACGTAAAATATGTAACGAATATATTTTATTGCGAACGGGTACAGCACATTACAATAATTTAAATACTGGAATACTTGTCATGCAAATGATACCATACAGCTATAATACTGCAGCAACATAGGACGAATACGATATAGATCAATGACATTGATACAATTATTATTCAGTAGCCGTAAAATATTACGAACAAATTTCGGTCTTGCTTAAAAGAATGGAACGAATATTACGATTTAACCAAAATTCCAGTATGTACGGGTTCAAGACGAAAATAACAAAAATTACACAACTCGATGCTTTTATTCGTCTGTATTAATCGCTCATAGAAACTTGTACAACGTGTATTTTAAACAATACGAATCACAAAGTATCGAAGGAAATAATTGCAGGGACTCGTTGGCCAGTTCGATCGAACTTGACGAGAGATTGAACGTTGCAACGAAATGATGCGTAGTTACGTGTGTTCTACTACGTACCAACTGTCGAAAGCTGTTGTATCTCGTTCATCTTGAGGATGACACTGGTGCCCGCGATTTGTTGATGATTTTGCTGCTGCTGTTGCTGCGGCTGCTGCTGCGCTTGCATGATCACGGCCACCATAAAAATTCGTTACGCGAACAAGGAACGGTCGTAAAGAGAATTTCGTTAATCGCCCGTGCGAAAGATTTGGCCGTGTCGCAGTCGAGAAACTGCAACGAGTCGAATCTGTACGTAATTCTGGTCCTTCCTCCGAAGAACAGAAACAAAAACACAGGTACGCAGGGGGCTTACGTCGGCATGCACTACCGCGATCTTTCAACGTGCGCCATCATGGATTTTCGAGCACTCTGGTCAAACTGGCCAGAATCAGTATATAATATGCAAATTGCGTAAAGATAAAATTGCTGGCCGTCGGGTGTCCCGTTATTCGAAATTCTGTGATAAATGACCCCCCCGTTGCCGATGGCTCGGTCTCTCGCGAACGATAGTCTGTCAACGATACGAAAACCTTAACATAACGTGGACCATGAACACGTAACGCGGACCGACGCGAAAAACCAATCGATGGATGTATTCCAAGTTGGAGACTCGTGTAGCTCCACGCGCGGGAAATACGTCACGTCGATGTAGCCCGATAATCGTACTGCACACGCTCGGCCATTGTAATTCCTGAACCCTGGAATTTTGTAACAAACATCACACGGGGATCGATCTTAATTAACAATGTAATCAGAATGTACTTTGAATATTACGCTGGATAATGAATTTAAATACAATGTTACACGTTATTTGATACTTTAACAAGACGAGTTACCGACTACGGTAGAAGAACTCGCTAAAAAAAATATCGAATGTACTTTTACATTCTGTAGGTTCACAAATTTTCGTTATTGTTACAAAATATATGTATGGTTAAAATAATACATTTAACAGAAGACAATAAAGAATAAAGACACTGGGATATATTTTGAGAAAGTTATTAGTATTGGACGAATACGTTGAATTTAAGACGCTGGTCATATTGTACAATTGTAAATATTAAAGAATTAAATATGAAACGAAAGAAACGGTTTTCGAGTTGAAATATGGCCACTCCTGGAGATCGTATGCGAGCGCCAAGACGGTGGGATGTCAAGAGTGTCTTTCCCCACCACGCGTTGAAAGAGTTCGAATAAGCGAAGGCTTGGTTCGTTTCTTTGTCTCATTCTTTCGCTGCTATTGCCGGCGTTGCATGGTCGTTTGCACAGTATTAACTTTATTTCGTTTAGTTTGCAAATTTATAATGGCAGAGAACAAGGAGCGTACGTTCATTATGATTAAACCGGACGGTGTCCAGCGTGGACTCGTCGGCAAAATAATCCAACGTTTCGAGGATAAAGGTTTCAAGCTTGTGGCGATGAAGATGGTGTGGGTAAGTTTCTCTATGTTCTGGCACATGTACATCAATCGTCTTTCATGGTAAAAATGCGCATACTCTTTCATAGCCACGTGGACGCCGGTTTCGTGTCAATTTTTTACAGCTTTTCGTAAAAAGTATTGTCACGTTTCCTTAATCAAGAAACAAGCAGCTATTCTAACTTTCATTCCCAAATCACATGACATTACGATTCCTCGCTATCGAGATAAAATGATTGGAATTTTTTTCTCGCTAATTTTTGCACCATCTTTGATGCAATTGCACTTAAGATCAGTAAACAAATGATAGCAGAACAATGCCAACGAGTAATTAACGAAGTTATTTTCATATATTACTCATTAGGACATATTTGTCTGCACTAACAGATGTATTGCAAATCGATATTAGCGTATTGTCTAAAGATAAAATTAATCTCATTTCGTAACAACTAACGATTTCAATGTAACGCTCTTTTGTAATAATATTTAAATTTGTCTCTTCAGCCAACAGAGGATTTGTTGAAACAGCATTATTCAGATTTGGCAAGTAGACCATTCTTCCCAGGCTTGGTTAAATACATGAGTTCAGGAACAGTTGTACCTATGGTAAATAATTATTTTTATATCTAACAACAAAATTTGGTACAGCAATAAAATTATTTTGAACACTTTTCAGGTATGGGAAGGCTTGAATTCGGTAAAAACTGGCCGTGTAATGTTGGGTGAAACGAATCCAAAGGATTCTGCACCAGGAACAATCCGTGGAGATTTCTGTCTGCAAGTTGGACGCAACATTATCCACGGTTCTGATTCTGTTGACTCTGCCAAGAAGGAGATCAAATTATGGTTTGGAGAGGACAAAAAGGAGGTTGTTGACTGGGCATCTTGGGCAGAGAAATGGATATACGAATAGATTGTTCGAAACGAACTATCAAGAAATATTACAGGTCATCTGTCTTTGTGTATATATGCAAAATTATTCTTTCACATATTGCCATTCAAGTAATACACAGTACATGGATCAGCTTGTAAAGTAATAAAACATGTTCTTGTATAAATTGTATTTAATATAACAGCATTGGTGTTGATCTTGTCACCTTTCATACAATAAAGACCAATTAACAAAAATAGCGAAGCATTAGAACTATCTTACATATTATCCTATGAATTTGTAAATCTTAACACGTTAAACGCGATGTCGGACTTCGAAGATAGACGATTTTATATTTAAAAAAATAATTCTTTATATATGATACTAAAAAATATTTGTACCATCTTTTAGCGAACTTTATTGAAACATTTCACATAAAAATGTAGTTTTCTATTTCTATACAGGCACATTTTTTGTAGACGTTACTTTTGTGGATAATGAAACGAAATTGACTCTGCATTTAATGTGTTAAGTAGCATACCAAAAGCTTATTAAAATGTGTACTTACACGGTTTTCAACCCATTGTTGAAAACAAAAAAATACACAAATAGTAACTTGCTTATGACAAGAAATGCCCAGAATTTTACATATATATAAAAAAGTAATAATCAATGATTTGCGATATAATTACGATGTACCTCTTACGCATTTGTTTATCACGAAGAATTGCGTAAAATAGGATATAAACAAACTTTTAACTCGTTCTTTGAGTTGTTGATTATACGCGATACAATGCATAGAATATTGTGCGTATATTGTACAAAATGTAATATTTTAAAGCAGTTAATATTCTTAACATAAACTTTATCGTCAATGTTTCGGCACATATCGGCATAGAATCAATTGTCCGATTGTCCCAAGTATGATTTACAGGAAGGACAATAGTGTTTCTTCACCATACAGCTGTCTATACAGTAAGGACAGGGTGCACAACACCACAATCTAGAAATAAATATCAACGGTTAAATCTTCTTCATCTTAAAACCAAACATTTAATGGAAACGCGAAGTGTATTCGAGTATATGCAAATATATTTTTATTACTATGTATGTAGTATGTTTCAAATACATACTGAAACTCTCACTTTATAATGAGTATGTGAGAATGAATGAATCGTGTGTCGTGTAAATATGTTTCGTATAATTACCCTAAAATGCATAAAAGTATGGCAAAAAGGTGTGTTTTTGTGTTTGCTTCAGTTTCTATCATCGTGCTAATGTGGGCATGACAAACGGGACATGTTACACTTTGCGAGTCTGAACCCCACTGATAGGCTCCCACGATGACAACATCTGTAAATAGCATTGTTCAATTATTTCAAATAGTATATAAAAAGTAAGGTGTCAGTTACAGATTAATTACTGATAGATGACTGTTAATGACGATCAACGCGGGTGGCGTACAATTTACACTCTTCTACCTTATATTTTAAAATTAATATATATTAATAATTGTCCTATTAAAGAACGCATATCAATAATTAGCAAATAATGAAAATTATTCGTAGTTGGACTAATCGTCTATAACTAAAAAAATAGAGCTAAGAATGATTGTCAGCATGAAAAATGGTCAGAACGCTCGATATTCAAATCGTAGCTTCTCAGGTTTCGTTAATTCGTTTTATTCGGCTTTGCACTTTGTAAACTTCCCGATTATCGATATAGGTGCTAACTATATTCAGGACAAAGTTAACTGGCAGTTCAAGGCAACTGATGGCCTCTCCCCACTGTTCTATCTTTCGTCTTTTTTCTTCATCTTGCAGTTGTGCCTGAGAAACAGGAAACATACACCTGCAATGCTTTTTCCATATCATAGAGTACATTAGTGTTTGTGGTTGAACCCTTTATTTCTATAATTTGTACATACTTGGCTCTCTGGCCCCAGAGGGTGGTGGCATTGGAGGTGGTGGTCCCACATAATCAGGTGGTGGTCCCATAAAACCAGGTGGTGGTGGTGGTGGTGGATGACTTTTGTCCATTATGATATTACAATTCTTTGAAAGAAATGAAACATTTAATGATAAATAATAACAATGACACGATTATTCTTATTTTTTAAATTAATCAGATATATTTAGTTTTGCTCCTCACTGTTTAATCAGCATTTGATCATGTTACACTGGAAGTTTTTACACATATCTTGGAAACTAAAGCAACTTATAACATATTTCAACATACTTCAAAGAAATTAAGAAAAGTATGGTCAACGTTAATTGCTTAACCTTTTAAAGTTAATGGGACTGTCAAGAATGTTAAGTCGTAATTATACTGACTGTTTCAAAATGATGGGACAGGCAGTTTTATCATTTTACAAATCTGTGGCTTCGTTTTCGAAATACAGTATTGTCTCTCTATAGCCGCGAGTGTCGGGACCGGGCGCACGCAACTTGAGAGACGAGTAGTCTATTCGGCTTTCTTTGATTTGACGCTCGAGCGTTCAAGGGGGATGGGGCTCGTCGACTTTTCTTCGGCTTTCTGTTTGATATCCGATACCCGATGTCGCGGCGCGGTGATTACAAACGAAGTAGTGGGGATAGCTTCGCGTCTATAGAGAATCCGAAAACGCGCGGCTATAGAGAGACAATACTGTATACGTAATCAAAGTTTTTAATTAAGCATTTTAAGTTTTAAAAACGGGCATGTGCTCTCGTAATAAGAAAACTTTCGCGTTTAATGGCGAAAGTCTTTTCGATTTCTTTTTATTCTAGCTTGGCTCATTTTTTTTCTCGTAAATCAAATGTACAGCATTTCCAGATTATGTTATCGAACGTATCGGTTCATTCTTTTGAAAACTATCCTGTATATTAAATTGTTTCTTTCTAATGTATGCTATACCATCGATCATATATCAGATTCTGACGCATAACGAATCATTATAATTACGACGAATACAAATTTTATCAATCAATGAGTCACCGAGTCTCCTCGTATCACAAATTCCTACAACGCTTACCTTAACAGATAATGGTGGATTTTATTAAAACTCAAACACGGAAGCAGGAAAGTGTTTGAAAGTTACGATACTTTAAAATTGACTATATGACAATTAATCGAAGAAGATAAATCTCCAGGCTAACAGGAAATGTAGCGACAACGAATATCTCGGTGCGATAAATTTGTAATAGGAAACTATAGTGAATGGTATTTCATTTGTTCGCACCAATGTGAAAAATAATTGCTGAGGTTATGAAATTGTAGCCGGCGGATATTATTTATCTGCCTAAAGGCCTTGATGTTCGATAAGCAAAATGAACAATTTTCAAAATGTCGAAAAATCCTTCACGATACGTTTAAATATCGTTGAAAATTATGTACAACGTATTCAAGTATCAGAAAAATTCAGAATATTATATCCGAACGAGTCTGATGTTGTGTAGAAAGACACGAAATAATCAATTAATATTTACGTAAGCCGTGTGTGTTTGTTCACAGTGGGATTTCCTGACAAACACAGACGGTATAACCAGTGATATAATGATATGTCAAGCAAGTAATGACGGTTATTCCCAGTAATCTTGGTTCGTACAAAATGTTTTGCTGTTGTGAGCTTTTAAAAAGTACATGGATTACAAATAGTTAATATTATCGAGAGTATCGAGAGTGAAAAATACAGACGACAAACTTATCAATTACTTGATCGATTATCCGTGTAATTTTTATTAACCATTTATCTTTATCGTCGTAGTATCAATACCGAGAGAACATCGGTTGATAAGATTGCAACTTAGAAAAGTGAAGCCTTTATAAAATGTATATAATCAACAGTAATGTAACGAGATTGTGCAAAAGTTTCTAACGCACAATAGTTTCAAACCACTAGAAATCAGATGGATATGCGTTCAATATTCGAATGGAAAACTTCGCGATAAAAGATAATGGGAGTATTGATTTTTTGCGACGAAACAATTCGAACGAATGCGAGGTTTCACTGAATTTATCACCTTTTACATTATACTGATATCATTTTTATTCCGTAGATAATTTCATTCTTCTTTGATCCAATTATACAATTTTCTCTGCACAGATTTACTCGTCTCGTTAGATTGTCACTTGAGCTTTTCGATGTCTATGCACGAAAAAATTAATTCCCAACGATTGATTAAAAAGTATAAAAATATGGATAAGTATGATGCTATTTTACGTCAGGTTATAAATCGAACAAAATACGAAGCGTACAACGTGTTAATTACATGTTATATAGACGAAACAACATTTTCAAGGATAAGCTTCGGTGTCTTTTCACACTCTGACTGTGCCACCTTGATCTTCGTTATTTTTATGACAAGTTTCGTGTATGTATTTATGTTTACGACATGTGAAAGCCGATTGATTCTGTAAAAGTATTTCGGTTTCGTTTTCTACTACTTTCACAGGGATTAGTGCATGCTACTTTGACAATGGAAATGGAATTAACTACGATTGTTAATTAGAGGTGTAACGTGACACTGAGTGATAAAATTTGACACGCCACAAATGCCTTTGCAATTCGTAATGCAATCCTCTTCTAGATCAAACATGTGCGTGGAATATTTTACACGACACGCTCTAGTCACTAATAAACCAACTCTTTACAAACATAAATGAACGCATTTTCAAAACATAATGTTTGCTTAAAAAGTGAATAGAACCCCTCGCCGATAGATACAAAATTAAAATAGACCACAGAATGCCAGCAATGTAAACACTTTACGAACGTGATGTAATAAGATTGTTAAGATCAAATGCCAGAAGTTCATTTCGTATTTACAAGTTCACGAAGTTATTTAGTCTAATCTATAATTATATAACAAGATAATTTATTGCCATTTTCGTGCACACATACCTGTTACAATAACGATGGCTACGACACTTGTCGCCGGCGTGACGATAGAACGTTGAATTCCAACTACCAACTTGGGTTCACGCCGCTATCACTCGCCTCAAATTATCTATATACACATCCACATAAACATGCAACATACACACACACGCGCACACACATACAGATTGGCAGACGTAAAGTGGGAGTCACATTACCGAGTGGGGGGACTTCTGAGAAGTGACGTAGAAGAACAGGTAAGTGTTCTGTTTTCTTCAGGTGCAAGGAAATGTCTTATATATTAAAATGTAATCCCTGGAATCCTAAAACAGAATTGTTGAAAAATATTCCATTAAACGACATAAGATTTTCGTACATATAGAATGAATATTAAAATGTACAGTATCCCAGAATGCATTGTATAAGCCCAGATCGATATATGTTTTCTTTAAAAATAAATTGATGACTTGGATTATCGAGAATGTATATTATCGTATGTTATCGGTAAAATCGATTCTAAGAATAAGCACGTATAATGATAAATTAGGATTATGATAACCAGATCTATAGAATATTAATGTTTCGAATTATGCAATTGGTATAAATTAGGTAAAAGAATATCTTTTTTGCTTCATTTTTTAACCTAAGAAATAACTTTTTCATGCTTAAGATTGACTGAAAATATTATGTACCTCTAATCGGTTTTCCAGTTCCGTGCCTAAAAAATCTCAATCAGGCCTTGCACACGGGGAATAAGTATGTAAAACAATTGCATAATTGGGAGGTAGTAATTTGTTGATCAAATAAAAAAATTATACACAGTAATGACAATTTGTTATTTCCATGCAGTCGTTCAAAAATATCTTGGTTGTGTTGAATTTTGGTTCATGCAGAAATGTTAGGAATCTCTAGAGCAAATTGTAAGTTTGGAAAGAAAGCGTAAAATTAATAAATATCTTCGACAACTCTGTACATTGACAATGAATATCATCGATTGTCTGGATATTATATTTTTTTTTTTTTTACATTCGGTGTTTTATTTGTTAAAAATCTTTACGGTTTATGCATAAGTTTAACGCATATCCACATAAATTGTTTCTTTTTACAAATTGTTCTATAGATTTGTAAAAACCGTTATATGGAAATCATAAATAAAATATAAAAATATATATAAAATGTGATAACTTTTTATGAGCATAATTTATAAAGGAAATCAGTACAAATGTTAATCGTAATATTCGTCTACTAACTAAAGCGATTGTAAAATAAAATTTTCAGTAGTGATAGTAAAAATTTATTATTACCCTGAATGCGAAATTGTCACGTGTTCAACAATCGGTTATTGACCATACATAATCGGTTGGATAAATGCAGATTAATATACGTTTAAATTTCTTTTTATACACTTCGAATTGTGTAACCTTTCAATTTTCAGACTAATTGAATGAAATTTCTCAATTATGCGTACGTTACACTAGACAACAACTTTTAGGAGAAACTCGTTATTCGAGTTAACATTATCTATATTTGGTTTTAACGTATATGTATACCATCGTATACAGAAAAAACATATTCAAGTTTTCGGGTAATATTTTACTACGAAAAAATGTTGAAAATTTCACTCGACCCTAGAAAAAGATTGTAACGTTCAACACTCGTAATTCTACGATTTATCCAAAGAATCGAATCGCGATCGATCGATTAAACGTTCGTTCGCATATAAATGTACTATGTTCTTTGGCTAATAAGACAACAGTTACCCTAACAATAACAGTACAGCGACAACAACCTAAAACACGTTCTGAACAATAACGTCGTTTCGTCGTCCAATTGGAAACAAGTCGTTTAAAAATTTCGCATCGAACTCTGATAATCTTTTAACATACTCTTCCCCTAACTAACATCGTACGCGCCTATACCAATTCAAATCGATCGTTCGCGCTAATAATCGTTTAAAATTCAATTCCTACGTAATGTCACGAGTCTTAACGGTCGACAAGTCAGCCAAAGGGTATTATATGTATACGGGAAAGTAAACTACTAGTAAAACGATCGGAACGATCGGTTGCGAGGATAAGTTTCTATCAAGCGTAGCTTGAAACGTGTAGTTAACTCAATTCGACGTTACTATTAGGATATCTCCGCGATCCCCATTAATATCAATACATTGGCAGTACCGATTTGGCTTCTATCTTTCGACGATATTTCTGTTGGAATGTTTCACGGATCAAAGCGAATGTAAATTTCGATGGATCAACGATGAGGCCGAAAAAGAGCGGGAGCACTAAATTTCACGGTGATTTCGCACTACGTGTATTCGTGCACGATGCATCGACGCGCTTCTCAGTCTTCGTTTCTTTACGATGGACGATCGGGCGTGGATTTGGTCTTCGGTTTACGTCCGAGTAACTTGCGAAACGACGAAGTCCATCTCGATCGATTAAATCCTGCTGTGCTTTGCTCGTCCGGTTCGCTGCAGCTAAGCGACTCGCTGATCTTTCTGCTTTTGCCGCTGCTGCTGCTAGTGCTGCTACCTCCGTTCTCATAACATCGCGATCTTCGGTCTCCGATTTCCGAAGAGAACCTGAAAAACATCAACCTTTAAAAACGCACAATTGCTTTCCCAAAACGTGCGACGGTTACACACGTTCTTGCTCCGTGTTCTTTCGTTTAATCCCGTGGCTGTTCGATTTGAGGTTAGGAAAGCAACTGTAGTTCAACGGACGAAATAATAAAATCGACTGTTTCGATACTAGTCGATAATTGTGGTACGTTTCGTTCTATTGCTAGTTACAATTCAAAAAGTGCTGGGGAATTTTATTCGAAGGAGCGACGATCTTCTAAATCGATTCTTGCTTCTGCGATCAGAAATGATTGAAACACGTACCCTGAATCGGAAGAGAAGGCTCTGGCTGTAGGCGGAGCACTAGAGTTGGCCGACGAAAGCGAGATTTCAGCGACCGGGGTGCTCGGATACGCCTCGTCGTCCGAAGCACTGTTGCTGCTGGTTGTACTGGTGCTGCTGCCGTTGCTGCCGCCGGCGCTACTGTCCACGCTGGACTCGTCGATGTAGCTTATTTCTCGATCAGCCAACGGCGAATTGGTCCTCTGTGCGCGCGACGACGACGTCGCCGGAGTTGCTGCCGGTCGCAACCAAGTACGCAGATCTTGCAACGGTGCTTGAAGGCACTTGAATAGATTGCCGCTGAAATTTTCACGAATACAACAGATGTACCAAGCCGCTAAAAACTCTCTTCGCTGTTATTTTAATTTAAATTATAGTTGACGTTTGCAAACGCTATTCTGTAACGGACTTACTCGTCGCGATAATCGTCGATTTCCGCGAAAGTGCGTCTCGCGTACAGACAAACGGAACATCGCCTACGACGACGGCAAGATGTGGCGTGAAGCGTCGCCGCACGAAGATGTCGCGCCGCGTGCCTCAACGTGATTGTTTCTCGGGTCAGGGCTGCGACGCCCTCTTCTCGCCTGCGTCTCTCCTCGCCTAATTCGCCCTGCTCTACGCGCAGCTTCTCCTTTAATATTTCGTTCTAAAAATAAACCAGGTTGCAAGGTTACAAGAATTCGACGCAACATTCACGACGTGTCCCTTCGTCCTTGGATAGGGGTGATTATCAGGAACAGTATAAAATGTTAATTACATCGTAAAAAATAAGTGTTCTAGGACGATCCGGTTTACATGCTTGATCTTAAAGTCTCAGAAGGAACAGAAGGAACGCGATGATATTTGTATTTGTTGCATGTTCACCTCTCTCTCGAGCGCATCTCGCTCGGCACGGATAACAGTAGCCTGCCTGACGACATCCTGTCGAGCTCGTTCCAGAGTCTGCCTTGTAATCTCGTTTTGCGCCAGTTGCATCTGCAGACGACGCAAAGCCACCTCGCGTTGCCTGTCTAGACGATCCCGCGCCGCCACGCAGCTGTCTCGATCAGTTTTAGCTCTCTCCATCTCTTCCTCTAGCCGGAGACTTCGTTCCAGCTGCAGAAAGAGCTCGTCCTCCTTGCTGCGAAGTTCAGATTCGCAACCCTCCAACCGCTTCTCCAACAGTCGTCGATTCTCCTCCAGTTTGTCTCTCTCGGCCTTGAAGAAGACGAACAGGATAGATAGACGACGGAAGAATACTTTCGTTTCGAAGCTCGGATTAAAATTAAGCGGTTGTCAATCGGTAACGAGAATACCATAACCGCGGGGGGAACGTTAACCGTGATAATAAACCTAATTAAAAAAGAGGATGAAACAGATCGTACTTCTAGCACTGCATCTGATTTCATGGTCGTTGCGTCGAGATGAATCTATTACGTTTGTTTCCAGCAAAGGATGCGCGAACATTTGCATGTGAAAAAGGTTAGGTTCCGAAGGAATTTTATAATTCAAGATACGCGTACAAAGATTAATCATCGTCCTACTGTACACGTGGAAACTGGTCTATATACAATTAAATCGATTGTGCGTCATCGGGCGTGTACAAGGCGATCCACCGGAAACGTTATTTAACATTACTTATTCTTCATCGAAAATACGAAGCATTCGTAAACGAATGGGTTTATAAATATCCGAGTAGCGGACCAACGATTCATTTTTCTAAGAATAATTTCCCTCCGAATATAAACGAATGCAAACCGTAAATTATAATTCTTCGTACTTGGTGAACGTCTGCATGAATATTTATCGTCGTTCGTCCATAGAAGAAAAAGTTTACGATTCTATTTTTAAACACTATTCGTAATCTGTTTTATAACCTAACAACGCCATTTCATCCTGCTCTATATAGGTATTTTTAATTTATTTGGAGAACGAATGAATTGTATACGAGTAATATCAATCTTCTTCTGATCATTCGGCTCGATCTACACGTCGTGTGACGTTATACAAATATAGGAGGCTTTTTTTCGATAAAAATGAATAATAATATCTCCGTTACGTCGTAGAAGAAATCACCTTCGTGCCTCGATTGACCCACAAAGCCACTAGAGTTTCGAGGATATTTTCGTATCTCTGACTGGAAAGAGGAGATCGAGGTATCCTGTTTCCAACAGACCATTCAATACGAAATACAATTATACTTGTAAAGGAAAACGCGACCGGAGAGTACATCCTCCCCGCGTATCCACTCACAATCATGTAAAACTTGTCCATCGAATTGCGTAAGCGATTAATAATAAATCATCGATCGACCGTGTCTGGTCGCATGCAAACGACCAGCTTGTCATCGAGCATTTCAATTCCCCGCGTACGAACCGGTGACCGTCACTGGCGACCTACGTCTAGCTCGACTTAACGCAACGCCAAACAAGATGACGACGAATACCGAAGCTCGTCACACCTCCCTCTTATGGCGACTCCACTCATTTATAACGGAACGCTAATTTCGAGCCGCGAAGACGGAAGTTTGTAATAGCCAATCCAACAAAAACTGAACGAACGAGGGTCTTCGACCTGGTTCGGATCGAACGTTGGGCTGGAAAACATCGTGAAAGGGATCCTGGGTAATTAACAGACCGATCGGGGAGATCTCCATCGTCGTGCCGCACCGATTCGTTTTTAATCGCCTGTTCGGGAGTCAAGGGTAACTTGCAACGAAAGAGTCCTGCATTTTACGAGCCTTTGTTTGCTGTGACGAGAGCGACCGTCTGCGAGCAAACAAGGCGACGACGTATCATATTTCGGCAAAGAAGACAGCCAATGTTTTTTCTCGCTCGAACGCACTCGCCGGGACAGCTAGAAAAAAACAGCGGAGGGAATAGCCAGACTATTCGCAACGAAACGGGTAACCATCGAGCGATTTCAAATTAATTTTCTAGCCAGAATCGAATCGTTACCGGCGTATTTAATTACAATCTCGAATGATCGTACGTTACTCGGGTCGTTATCTTTAATTTTCATAAGATACTCGACGGGCGAAACGAACCTCGTCGCTGGTTAGGCGGACCCGCCTTTAGGTTCGGTCGCGTCAAGTATCGCGCATTGTAGGTCAACCTAGGTGGGTAAGTCAGCCTCGAGAGGTTGATGAACGCCATTACGGGCTAGATTGGAGCACACGCCGAAAGGGGGGTGGAAGGAAACCGAAGAAAGTCGGGGAAAAAAGAGAGAAACGAGGCGAGTCGAAAGACAAGACGCGAAACCGCAGAAGGAAAAGCGGACTAACGAAACGTCGTTGTCGTTTCGTCTTTCTTTTCGTCTTTTCTTTTCGCGATTCCCCACGACTCTGTTTCTGTGGTCTGGTTCTGGCCAGCGATCGCGAGCAAATCCTGCGGTCGCGAAGGGAATAGGCAGACGTACAAGTGGTCGAGCCACGAGCGGAAGGCCAAGGGGAAACCGACGCGTACGGCCGGCGACCGAACGACTCGCCATTTTCTCCAGGCCTCTTTTCTCAAAAGGCTTCGCTCCGCTGGATAAACCGATTCGCCCGGTCTCTTTCACTTTCTTCGATCCTCTTACCGATTTTTTTTTATCTCTCAAGAGGTTAGGCCACTGTGGGAGGTTCGACGGTTATTTGTCGAACTTTGACGATGCACACCATCGACTAATTTCGTTAAACGGACAAACGACGGAACGGTATACCGTGTATCCATTGTTACAGTTACAGTTAAGGTTCACGACAGGGTCTGGGTTATGACACGAACATTACTTATCCGCTACCATCAAGGCTTAGAATTTGTACGACCTTTTACTACTTACTAGAATTTAATGGATAGGAGAACCCTAAAATTCGACAATTTGGGAGAACTTTCTCTGCGTTCTTATGGCGATTGTAGTACCGTAAACCCGAGAAACCCAATACACAGGTCGAAGGTGAGCTTGTACCTGCTTACAGGACGAATGAAAAATTCAGGAATCCGTACGAAACAAGTAAAAAAATACGCCAGACTTATTACATAACCTAAAAAAATACATTTTCGACTTCAGCGATCCAACGTTCCAAGTATTAAGCGACTAATCAAATGTTGACGCAGATATGGTATCTATTGAACGTAGACTACAAGAAACGATCTCTATTTGATCTAGATTATCCACGTTAGAGCACAGTGAGGTCTCTGTTTTCTTGAGGCAGGGAGCTGCTATGAAATATTTTAGAACACGGGTGAAAGGCTTAGAAAAAAAAAACGCTGAAGACCTTTGACACGATATGGGAAATTTTCACGGTGTCTGAATGGTGTAACCGTTCTAGAATAATCAGGATACGACCGTGACCTGCGAATCGAGCTGTTTTAAGATCACGGTGACAGAAAGTTGGACGATACTTTGCTAGACGCGCACGAACGCGCAAAATGAGATCTAGCTCGAACTCCGACAACTATGATATCCGTATCGATCTTTTTTTATTCCCGATCCGTCAATGACGACGCACACTCTCGTGGAGATATCGTCGTAGAGATAACGAAACGTCTCGCAACAAGAATCGGAAATGTCTCTTTTATATCTGGAAAAGTTTCTCCTCGTGCTCGACAATGGGAGTGGCATCTTATCGATAAATTTTTCAGGCAATCTCTCTCCCGCGGAAAGAGCCCCGTTTTCTCTTCCACATTTTTGCGGCTAATATTGCGAACCGGCGAGACTTGATTTCACTTCGGGCGCAAGCTTTTTCACTCTGATAACATCGATCCGACTAACAAGATCGCGGAAGAGAGTCTTCGTCTCTCCGCATCTCTCTTACGATCGTCTCGAGTATTAATCGCGATGTTACGTAGACGCTTGCACGGGAATTTGCACGCGTTACTTACGTCGCTGTATCACAAATTGTGTTTCGCGGTAAAACGTAACTCTAATTTAATACCGACTTATCTTGATTCACGAGTTAATCATTAATGCCGCGAACGGATAGCAACGTCCGCGACATGTTATCAAATCTTACGAGAGAAAGTGGGGTATTTGTACTCGGAAAGCGGAAAAAAAAATTATGTCGCGAAGATATTCCCACGATGAAAAATATATGTATACGTATACTGAGATATAAATGTACAATTTTAGTCGTTGCGCACCGGCTGGCATTTTGCACGAACACGGACAACGATCGACGACAGTTTTCCGGCTTCGTCGCGTTTCAGCATTTACGGGTTCCGTTTCGATGTACCCAGTGTCTATTTTTGCAACGTGTTCTAACTCGCCTAGGCCAGGACGACGATCTGGGACGAGACGACAAACGGGTCGCGGAGGGAAATTCTTCGAAAGACCCATGGAAAATACCTGGATGGAATTTTATTAGCGTCGTTTCGAGCAACGACTTAAATACAGGGGGGTAACTCAGGAAGTATATTGTCGAGTAAAAGTCGGTTGTGAATTGAATTTGAATGTGATTGGCGGAGTGGTTCGAAGGGGGGAAAAATTTCAAAATTCTATTGTCCGTTTGCCACCTGGTGTTGGAAGGGGATGATCTTGATGACGATGAAACTTACACAGGGAAAAATGGCGGTGGGAATTTCCCAACCTCGAAACGAATTTTCCTTGACTCATCGTCCAGGCGAGGTTTACGATCTTGCCTATTGACCTCAATAATCGAGCGCAGATCTGGCAGCCAGCTGTTCCATGGATAGCTACTTTTAGATTTCAAATACCGTTTACTGGCTACCTGCGTTTACGAGAGTCCGCGAATCAGCTAATTTTGTTTCTTAAGCGATTTTAAAAATAAAATACTTATTTGAACTGTCACGAATTCCCGAGGCTCTCATTTAATTCGAATATACAATCCCGATATCCGGATGTTTCAAGTTTCAGGAACCATGTTTGAACGATAAAGACAGAGTGCAGTGGAACCCCGATAGTCGCGCGCGACCTCGTTCGTTGCATTGTGTCGACAAGTGGAAGGAATTCAATGTCATCGGAACTGACAAAAGTCGTTTATCAAACGAGTGACAAAGGGAAAGGAAGTTTCTGTTCGGCACAAAGGCACGTTGCCGGTAAAAGACCAACGATTACGCGGGAAGTAAAGCGTGAACCACAGTGTGCAAATAGGACATCGGATCGATTATTTGGATATCTTTGCGACTCTCGAAATCTTCAGCCCCACCTTAAACTATCGACATATTTCTGCAACGAATGTTTAAATAAAAAACTCTTGAGAAATAGATGAACGCTATTAAAAAAATAAATAGTACAAGAACCTTGACTTATACGATAACAATTATCGAGCCCTGATCTCACTGGCTATTTCGATCGTCTCCGTTTAATCGGTGGTATCGATAACAAAAGCGGCTTATCGTTCGTACGCCGGACGAGTTAATGTTATCGATAGTGTTCGGCCTTCGTTCGCCACAACGATTCGATCAAGCGTCGTTAATCTTATTTCACGTACCTTGACTTCGTGATAACGTTCCTCCAGGTAATACGCGATACCCTTGGCTTCCTCATACTTGGCGGACAGGGCGATGTATTTGTCGTAGTGGCGCTTGAACAACACGAACCTGTAAACAGAAAGTACGGTGTCAGTTACCTCTCCGACACAACTTTACGTAATTTCATTGTACGGCCGGTGGGAAATATACGGGGTGTGTTTCGAATCGTTCGTATACTCTGTAACAAGGCGAAATTGAAAATCTTATACAAGAATTCGAACGATTAAAAAATACGTTAGAATCCGTTTATAATTCTTTGATCCGTTCACTCTCGCTGTCCTTTTCTATGGTCGTCGCCCGCGGCAAAAAAAAAAGGCAACTCCGAGACTCGACCGTTGCGTATATGTATATCTGCTGGTGTCAAATTTCGCTGCAGCTGCACGAAAGATGGACATACCAACCCCGCGGAGACATTCGTATAAAACATCGTTCACGCTGTAATATCTCCTCCATCGACTAGGTGGCAAACTGATCTTTGATCGTGTGGGAATTCGTCGGATTGTCGCCGAAGCGAGAATCTGTGAAACGGATTACGCGAAAGGGGGGCCCGAAAACGTCGCGAACAATTCCTCCTTTCGACTCCCGTTCCGTTCTCACTAAACGTAACATTCCCATTAGCCTCGATCAACGTCGCGACTCGGGTTCCGTAATCTCTCGTCGGAGATCTGCCGTTTGGAAACCGGAAACACGACCGGGTCCCACGCAATCCTAGCAACGTAACGAGCAATATCGAGTCAGCCGGGAAGACGACCTTTCGGCCATAGTGGCGATGCTGGCTGGCGATGGTCGTTGTCCGATACCCCCGCGGTGGTCCTCCAAGGTTCTCCGCGATCGATTTCTCTCCGTGTCTGGATCCTCCGCGCGTCGATCGAGCCACCAAAACTTCCTCTCTCCGGCTCTTTTTCTCTTCGACTGACTCTCCGTTGACGATCCTCGCACACCCGTCGGCAAACGTTCGTCCATTCTCTTCTGTCCGACCGAAAGACTTTCGCTTTCTTGATTCTTTCGACGTGGGCCGGCAGGCAACCGTTCCCGTCTTCCGTGGATCCGACGATGATCTTTCGCCTCCCTTCCGGCTGGCTCTGACTGCTTCTCGAGAGCCTGTCGCAGCTTTCTGGACCGCGAGAATCTCCTCCGTCCCGATAACCAGTCCCCGCCGACCGATGTAATTTTACTCCAGCCTCCAAGGTGACGATCGAGCTCGCTTGCAATCGATAGCTACGCGCGACGCCGATCGACCGTATCCGGCCTCGGTTCTGCTCGCGGAACACCGATTCGAATCCACGACTGTTCCAGATCGACGTGATTGGAAACCGGATGCGTCGATTCGCCGATCCAATTATGCACCACTTTTCATTAGACGCTCGCTGATCGATATTCGCGACGATCCTTCTTCGAAAGTATCAGCCGTTTAAGACAAATAGAATCGCGGTACAGGTTTCGCGAATTCGCGATGCATAACGCGCGTCCGTTGCGGGAAAAGTAAAATCGACGAGCGGCGATAAATACTGTTGTCAACGATCGTTCGTAACTCATCGTCGAACGGAATTCACCAACGGAGAGAAATTGAACGCGAGTAGGTTTCGCGACTTTTACGATTCGTTCCCGATCGATATTCAGCTGGCGTACGGACAAAGAAAATTTTCATGCAACTTTCTAAGCAGCGTGATCTCGGTGGAAGGGTTAACAATACCGAACGACCGTAACGAAGGTGGAACGCGAACTACGCGCAAAAGGGTGACGCTGTTTGTTTGCTTTTCTACCGTCGCGCGACAACGCACGAGGTTTACGCGTTATTCGAGAGATCGTACGCGGCTAGACGCACATAAAAGAAAGCGAAGACACGCTTCTGGTTTTCGGCGTAACCACGAGTGAAACTTTTTTTCCACCGACTCGCAGCATCGACCGGTGGACAAACGTAAAAAATTCCAAGCACGCGATACACAAATTCTTAAAACGAGAATTCACTGTCCAAGCCTTTTGCCGATGGACAGGTGTGTGGCAAGCGTGGCTATTTTAATAAATTTATCGTCGTAGTCGCACAGTTAGCCTAATGGAATCCGCCGTTACCGACAGTGATTAATAATTAATCGAATAGACGTTCTAGATGTCTCTGCACTGATCCACTTATCGATAAATCAGTACTGTTATGACTGGAAACATATATGTACACCGTGCCGTGCTTAATGTCAATTATAGCTTATTTATAGTTAAACTATATTAAATAAATATTATTATATATGTCTATTCACCAAAAAATTTTTCCAAAACGATTTGAAATTCTTTTTTTTCCGTCGAAAAATTTCACACATTCTCGAATTTTTTTCTCGGAAGTGCGTAGGATTTCGGGAGTATGTGTAATGACCAAAAATGATTGTAATTGACTCCCGCAACCAAATATAATTTTTTCAGAACGATTTGAAATTTTTTTTTTCCGTCGAAAAATTTCACACCTTCTCGAATTCTTTTCTCGAAAGTGCGTAGGATTTCGGGGGTATGTGTAATGACCAAAAATGATTATAATTGACCCCCGAAACTGAAAATAATTTTTTTAGAACGACATGAAATTTTTGGATTTAATTGTTAATAACTATTTAACGATGCCTCCAGCAACAAATTGGTATTCTTGATTTTCGTCTTATTTTGGCCTCTAGAATCTCCGTTATATATTAAAATATTCATAGTTGTCAAGTTTCCTTGTAAATGTAAATTGCACCGTGATTTGAAAATATGCATTCAGCGAACTCGCGGACGCTCCAAGTACCGCTCGAACCGTATGCAGAAAATTGTGGTGTTCGTTCAACGGTAAAAATACAGTCCGCGAGTGACCTGAAAATAGCCATCGTTTTTGGCAAGACGTATTTTGAGTGTTCGATCGGAGTTGGATTCGAATCGTTCGTAGAATCGATACGCATGGAAATGGATGTTTCGATCCCTCCCCCCTCTGAAGAAAATTCTGTCGCGCCTGGAACGAACAAAATTCGAATAAGATATTACTTGGCGCGGTTAGCGAGGCGTTCGTTCTCTACGGATATCTGATAAATTCGCGGTGTAATTTTTTTCTCACGTAGAGGAATCTTGGAGGAAAGTCCGCGTCCCAGTTCCCTCGGCATCGTTTCGCGGCCATCGCGACGGCGACGACGTTTTCGAAGAGCGTAATAGGCATAATGCTGGCCTGGCCACCGAATCGGAATCGCCGATCAGCGTGTTCTTCGACGCGTGACCATTGACTCGTGCTAGCGAGTCAGCATCGAACACCGACGAGCCATCTACGTCGACTTGGCCATTGTAAAGAAAAGAACAGAGCTAAAGATAGCGGACATTCGAACAGCCTCGGCTGCCTCACCCTGCTGGCCAACCCCTCTTTCTCCCTCCCCCTTTACCCGTCCATTGTGCGGATGACCTCAACCGAAATACGCGATGGACAATCGTCCTCAATCTCCAGCTGCGTTTCCCTTAACCTTTCGACTCGAAATAAGGAAGCCTCGCGAGAGCAAACCTCCGACGCCGCGACCGTCGCTTTAATTAGACGCGGCGTGTTTTCGAAATATCCGACTGCTCGTCTCATACGCGAATACCTTCCACATATTTGCCCCGTCGAGTCGCCTACAATTCCGCGAACTTTTTCAAGGTTCTCGGCCATTTGTCCAGTATCTGTTACGTTATTAGCAATTCATCATCGATCGAGACTGGATTAAGTTTCATAAAATTGATATAAACAACGAAGTAGATATTTTCAATTTGTCTCATAATCGTTATCTCTAATTACGAGGAAACTGACCAAGTTACTGTAACTAACGCGGGCCGATTAATTGCATCGATTAAATCTTGTTATAATTGGACGGTTGCTCGGGCACCGGGGTCCGCCGGCATTTTTCTTCAGAACCGTTTTTCATTGAGAACGCAGAGAACGCGTGCGTTGGCGCTAGATCCAACGGAAGCCACGCCTTCCTTCTTCGTTAAAAATGAAACGCTCTTTGCTTTCCGTTTTTAAGCGTGCGTGAACGCGCTCGCGCGCGCGTTTTGGTTCAAATAGTTTGTCAATGATTCAACGTCACCGACTAAATCAAACCGCGCGCAAGAAAGCTGAACCGAGCCGACAAACGTGTTTTTCTACATCTTACGAACAGAAAGAAATAAGATTTTTAGCGGTGCATCTAAAAATTAACGAAAACAAATACGTTCCAGTATATTACGACAATTAAAGAAATTTTATCGGATGGACAAGCTGTTTATTTATTACCGATACATGAAATTTTACGTCGACGGTATACAATTAATTTAATTTTATTGTCTTTGCTATCGAGGAACCTGCATACCAAGACGAAGCTATTTAGAACAGGGTCACGAGAAAGATTACACGTATGTGGAAGGATTCGAGATGAGACTGCTAGAAAATGCTGTTCCAAATGTGGAAAATAGGTTGGCGTCGATTTAGACGCGTTCAAAAAGTGGAACGATAAAAAATAAATGACAACTATCACCCGTACGACTAAATACATTACTAAATACAAAGTTTACGATGATGATCGTTGACCATAAGTTATACGACCCAGGGCAGAACAACAGAACTTGAATAATTGCAGGAAAATGAGACTACATTCTTGCATGCGTATCGAGACTCGAGCAACAAAAAAAAAGGAGAAAGAGAAACGTTTTTAACCGTTGCCTATGTCTTCCGTTTCCTCAAAGACCATTTTTGGTTGAGCACTGCGCGTACACCGTGCTCTTACTCAGAAATATACTCTTAGCAATCATCTACAATAATTATTCGTTTCTTCTACTTGCAAATTGTTCGCTTTCTTCCGCGTAAATTTCATTTACTTATTTATTTTAAAGCCAGCCTATTTTTTTTTTTTTTTTTATTTCACCCGACGTAAAATTAATTCAATATTGTTTAATACTTTATTTTGGCATACTGTACCGAAACGTAGCGTTAAAAAAGTTTCGGTGCGTGTAGCGGTTGTTAAAATGGTTTGTCGTTGTATCAAAGACATCGTATGAACAGAACAGTGTACAATAGAAGAATAGAATCGGAAACGATGAGTTCTTCCACGCTTCTATTGTGCGTTGCGAGATACGGTTCCAAAGCTTCGGAACAAATTTCACGCAGCATTTCCGCCTCAAATTACTATCGGTGCATGTACATGTATATTTTATATCCTACCGGAAATGTATAAAAAAAGTTGTTCGATCCGTGGAGGCGAACCTTACGATGGAATTTTTTACGTATAATCTCAAGAAAATAAAGTGATTTTGAAAATTGTGCGAATAAAAATAGGGGATGGGAAAAGATTCCATTGCAAATAAATTCATGTTTATAGTAAATCTATCAACTTTCTGGGACGTTCGATAATCTGGTAAATAACCGAATCAATCTGCATACGGTCCAATTGGAACGTTCCGTGTCGAGTGCATCCGACGCGTTTACATTCCGTCGTAAAATTCGAGAAATCATCGTAAAGCCATGGTAACCGGTCATTTGTCTGCATTTACGGTCACATACATATTTCAAATCCCGGATCTTCGGCGGCGCGACTTGCAAATCTGTAACATCGACTTCGAAAAGAACTCTTTGCATCGTAAATTATCGAGGAACAGTACATCTGCATCTTCTTGCTTTTTCACGAACGACTTTAATCTCTTCACGCCCTTGGCCACATATGTGGACGTTTAGTACAATTATAGTTACTCTCAATAATGCATAGACCCAAAAAAAGAGAAAAAAAAATCGTCCCTGAAGAGGCTAAATGCTCTCATTGTCCTTCACACGTGGCTGCAGTTTAATGTAAAACGAAGAAAAACGCGCAACGTCGAACGAACAGATTTAAAAGGGAAAAGGATAAGAATCGTACGATCGACGGTACAAAACAGTCTAAAGGCGATAAAAAATATACTGTCACGGTATTTTCTCAAATTAGAATTTTGATATCGTATTTACAGATCGGCGAGGTTACGTCGCCGCGATGAGAACCGATAAAAATCGATGATCTCATTCGCGACGCGAATAAAAATGCATGCCATATACTAGATAAAGTCGAGATCAAGAAACGGGAACTTCTGACACGCGTCACTATCGGTCGTAAGAAGTTGATGGAAATTCAACAGAGACTACATAATTCTGAACATCGAACAGGATCACCGGCGCCTTCGTATCTCGGAAAGATCGCGAATAAGAAAAAATAATTTACGTGCACCTTGCAGCCGACTTAAAGCTGCGAGTATTAACATCAAAACAACGATACTGGGCGAAACGTTTCTTTCTGTCCTTATCTGCAACTTGTTTTGGCTGTCGATACGTGGGTGTTTGTTTTATTTTCGAGGTGAGAAAACACCAGGAAAATTGCATAAGCAAAAACGACTAAGAACAATGGATGGGGAGAGTAAAAAAAATGGTATCGCGAACCTGTAGAGATCATTCTCGGTAACGATGTCTCGTATGGAATCCTCGGGATCGATGCGATCCGCCGGGACGCCCGGTGCTCCCACGACCCTCGAGGATAACAAGGGACACGGAGGTGGTTTCGAGTCGGTGGCCTCGTGGAGGGCGCTGGCCGCGATCAGGTCATCCTCGGAGGCGGTGCTCGGCAAAGGCACGCTAGGGCTCGGGGAACGCGAGCCAGATATCACGCCGAGCAAATCCTCGCTCCTCGAGTGCCTCATCTCCATACCACCGTACCTCCCGGTGGTCGTTCCCATCGCTCCAACGTCCGTTGCACGCTCGATCTCCCTGTGGTCGGTCCCGAACAACACGAGCGTCTTTCTCCTCGGTCTCGTTGTTTCGATCTCGAAGGAATCGACGATCCAGTAACCGCTGCTACTCCCATCCGGACAAGCCTTGTTCTCTTGCTACCTCTCATTCGACTACGTCCGGCACGACGACGCACGATCCACCGATTTTCATATTCCGCGACGTCTCTCTCTTTCTCTGTTCCTCGTCCTCCCGTTGCCGCCTTTCGCTCCTCGTGCGCTCCTCCGCTTCCACGATACGTTCTCAGGTAATTCCTTCGTTCGCGACGAACCAGAATTCCTACTACGTGCGGCGATTCACCTCCGCGAGCACTGCTTCGACCGCTGCTATTTCGCGACAACTTTTCAAACGGTCACCCCCCATTCGAGCGCGATCGTGTCCAAGCACGCTGTTCGACTTCGAGACGGTTGCCCGGTCGCTTCGTTCTAGTTCATCGGTCGATTTCTCGTTACGATCCCGCCGTAACACCGTGATCCACGAGATTTAGTAATCGCCGTCGACGTTTGAGTAACGCTCGATTATCGAGAGATCGTTGTTTGAATCGTCGCTCGGCACTTTCTCAATTTTCAGCGGGACAACGAATACCGCGACGCCGCGCGAAATACCGAGGGTAACGGACTTTTTACGTTCGTTCACGCGCATTACCGCCGACTGTGTCGCGGATCTTGTCAACTTCACCGCGTTTCACGAGTGCCGTGTCAAGGTATCGGTCGCCAACACGCTCGTCATGGACGAATCCACGTTTCGACGATCGCGAAGAGAACTTGTTTGATCCCCGCCGATGATCGACGAGTCTAATCACCGATAGAGATTCACGCCGCCATTTTCGTCGTGCGATTCTGCGAATGTGCACCTTGTAACGTGCGCCTCTCAAGGAACACCGGACACACGGGGTACGCGCGTCGAATAGGCTCGGCCTTCTCCCGATTAAAGTAATTAGAAGGAGCAGGGTGGTTCTTTTCGACCATGCGCGGTGAACAACGCGACACACGCACACCGTAGTCGACACCCGGAATCGTCCACTTTACGCGACGGGAGTACGCGATACACTGGTGATCGTGCAAATTTAAACTCTCTTCGCGTGAATTTTTCTCCGCGGTGCCACCTTTCTTTCGCGAGCCACAACCGAAGTCTGCCGTAACGGGAACCACCGGGGCCAGTTCGTCCTTTCGCAAGGAAGGGGCGTTCAGGAAAGGATGCACGTATACTGGCGCGCTACTGCGCGTTCGCCGCAGGTATACGACGACATTAACCAATGAACGTCCCTTGATCGGAAACGGGTCACAGGTAGATCCTTCGGCCTTCTTCCCTCGACCTTCCTCCAACGAATGCGTACCATTCTTAGAACTTTCGGAAACTTTAATCCTATTGCGATAAGCACCGCGTATCATTGGCCTTTCGGTCGATTTGAACATCGAGATCATTCGATCGCACGAGTGCAGTATGTTTTTCGTGGAAGTGAGGTTAGCTCGTGTTTAAGCGGTGGGAATACTTTGTAGTTGTTTTGTTATCATTTGATGGAACGTCAGGTGATACACTGCGATCGATGGTCAGACAGCTTACGAGAACATTGAATCGATTGTTTGTAATGTCTGTACAGTTTCTTACAAACGACATCATGAATTTCCAAATGTTTTCGTATCGAGTCCATTAAACATACTTAACGTTTACCGGAGGAAAATAATCTGATAAACGATACCCGAAACATTGATCTTAATTTACCGACTTTCATGATGTTCAATGTTTTATACACAATTCCCCTATATTTCCTAGGGTATTATTGATAGATGGCGCAACGGTCGTATAGAGATAACTAGAATTGCTGTTCGTGAATCACGAATGATTCGATCACGATGATTTTTGTCATAATGTTTCGTGATTTTTCATGATTGCTTCTGATTAACGAGAGAACATAATTGTTCTCTGCACGTGTCGTCAGAATAGTCAATTTAAATGCAAATACACCCTAAACATGTATATTCTGTAGAGTTTCTATTCTCCATGATTTATTTATCAGGCTGACTGTTAATAATACTGAAAAATGTTTCAAACAAAAGTTAATCGACTTGAACTTTAAACTTGAACTTGACAAACATTTTTTTTTTATCATTTTTGGACAAATATCTTTTATAACTTTTACCAAGGCTTTGAGCAAATTAGAGAATGTCGTGTATAATGAAACGTGTGATCGTAAACAAAGCATAAAATAGTATTTATTTTAAAGATTACAAAATAATAACTTTAAGCTCGGTAAAGAAATCTACAGGTGTGTTTTCCGTACGTGCCATAGGCGTCGCTACATTTTCAAATATTGTTTACATTCTATCTTCAAGCGACTGTTATTCCCGCTGTTTCTCGACATAATAGAAACCAATTTTTGGCGCGTTGTTGCTTTTATTTATAATTAACGTGTCCTTGGTAATGCTTGCGGTATGGCAACATCTGTCAGCACAAATCCGTCAACTCTGTTGCCTCTAGGTAAGATTCTATTTACGATGCATTTATAACCTCGTTTCTTTTAATCGCTATACCGTCACACGGCATGAATTTGCAGAATTGGTTGACAAATGCATCGGTTCACGGATACACATCATTATGAAAAACGACAAAGAAATTGTCGGCACTTTGTTAGGTTTCGATGACTTTGTGAATATGTTACTCGAAGATGTGACGGAAAGCGAAGCAACACCCGAAGGACGAAGAGTCACCAAACTCGATCAAATTTTGCTTAATGGAAGCAATATCACGATGGTTAGTAATTAACGTTTGCAAGTATTCAACTTCCATTCACGCATAAAGTATTTCACGATTGTTCGATACGATCGTATCGATGTAATTCGATCTGATACTCGTACCTAACCAACATTCTTTTTCTCGCAAATTAGAATCAACTTCTCGAATGAATTATTCTGATAATTGTTTATTATACGATACAATTATAACGTTTACGATATCTTTGTTGCAGCTTGTACCTGGTGGAGAAATGCCTGATACATAAAATAGTCCCTTTTTGTTCTATTTTGTACGATTAAAATATAAACATTAATCTAAGCATATGTATTACAAAACATCAGTGTTACACTCTGATTAAAAATATTAATCAAAATAAATATTATTATTGTACGATCAACCTATCAATATTACTGATCACTTCGTTTGTAGCGGGCCTATCCATAACATATTGTGACCACATTTTTCTGTACAATGTTTTATAAATACCATTAAAGTTATCGTTAATATCGTCGTCCCTCGGACGATTCCCTTTCGCGGAAAGGTAGATAATCGTATGACTATGTAATCCAGCAAATGGTAATTTTCTAGATATCATTTGCCAGGCTACGATACCTAAAGAATAAATGTCTGCTGCAGGAGTTGGTTTGTTCCCTTTTAATACTTCTGGAGCTACATACCCTGGTGTACCCTATGAAAATAGTGGTTTTAATAAAAAAGTAAAGCAGCAAATGAGATTAACCTACATGAAACTCAGAAGGCTCGTTTGGTTCCGCTATTAGTACAGAACTACCGAAATCGGTAAGCTTTGCTTGGCCATCCGCGGACATTAGAATGTTTTTAGGTTTAACATCAGCATGCACTATGCCTGCATTGTGACAAAATTGCAATGCACAGGTTATATCCCGTAATATGCGAACTATTTTGTTTTTAACTAATGCTGCTTTGTCCAGATGATCTTGCAAAGTGGTACCACATAATTCCATTGTTATTAAAGATAACGAAGCACCTTCCTCTATCATTAAGATTTTTACTATGTTGGAATGCCTTAAGAAAGAGGCATGTTTCTCAGAATTTAATGCACTGATGCATTTTTTCGTTTCCATTACTTTAGCTGCCACTTGATCTCCTATTGTAGGTTTAATTAATATTCGAAAATGTTCTATATACAACTTAACGAGTTGGAAAATTACAATTTCATCACCTTTATAAGAAGCTTTATATACGATACCAAATCCGCCGCTTCCAAGCACTGTGCCGTGTTTCTTTGGAAGACCATCTTTTAATATTTTCCTCCTGTTCGGAGTATCGATATTAAAAGGGGATAGTTGTTCCTTATTTTTAGTATTTTGTTTGCAAGTATCCTTGACTGGTGTTATTGGACACAAAAATTGTCTATAAGGATGTACGTTAAATGCTATTAAATGATCGGAATTAAATGTCTAGTTTTTTCATAATTGCATTTACCTTCTTTCCACGGTTTGCAACACACGAGGCGATACGTTACACAATTTAACTGCCAATCTTTGCGGAGAAGCCATTTGAGATTATACATTTAACTGAGAACGTACTTCGCGAAAATTACAACGAAAACAAACATTTCTCGTTTAGCAAGTGCTATGTATAATAGAAATAGATGTCAAGGGCGTATACAAGAACAAGTAAAAATAAATAATGTATAACCGTGATCGTTAGTCAAGAATTTTACGAATAATAATTATCACGTAAAGATATAGCAGCTTTGTAACGTACGACAACGATCCGTTTATAATGTAAGGATATCAAGAAACTAAAACAGATGGCAATTAGAATGTTTTATTTCTCTATTTTCTATAATAAGGCGCGAACCATCTACTAGGAGTCTATTACTAATTATTACTTTTTAATACTGTACGATAACTAGATTATTTACAATTTTTTTTTGATGAACTCATAACAGTTGATACTTGTTCTGATAATCTCTCAATATAGGTAATATCAGTGGTGTATATATATAGTAACATATTAATGCACTAGACGTAACATATCTAATGAAATTTTGTGTTAAAAACTTCATGCTAATAGTACATGCTCGTAAGTACTGCCAGTATTTTGTTTACAGTAACTGTGGGCCTTTATCACAATTATGCAGCATAACGTTTTTGATTCGAAACTGGTGTTTTATACTAATTAGCAGTAATAAGTAATGCGACAACGCATTATTCTCTTTACAGAAATAGTAAGATTAAAATTCGTTATTCAATAAGGTACTTTAGTGGATTAGCAAAATATTTTAACGAATTAAAATAGAATGTCTTTTCTCTTTGTAACAGCGTTCAAAATATGTAGTCAGTTTCATCACTTTTTTCCCCTCTGTTGCACGTATTCGATATACGGTAACATATTATTATTATAGCTTGGTCTTTTTCAAAATGTACAAACTTTACATTTGAAAAACTAACGACTATGATAAAATTAATAGTTACCGAGGCGAAATACCTACCAATACTGATCAGTTCTTATATCGAAAATAACGTACACAGTGAATATTTAAAGGAGGAGCTTATTACTTGCACAATGTAGTTTTACTATTTTTAAGTTTGCTTATATTCTATTTTTTAAGTACGTACACGATTGGTTTAAGCGAAAACTTTTGTGTTTTTTTTTTTTTTAAGTAAGTATGGATTGAAGTTGACCCAAGTTTTCTCGGAAGTAGTCCATCAAGTTCTTGAATCGCGAAGCTTATTGTTTTCTCCGAGTTTAAAGATATTATCAGGTACTTATCTAGATATACTTTTAGGAGTACCAGTTGTTTCATTATTTAAAATAAAAATATTATTCGTGCAACGTAATGTCAATTAAAAGAACTTGAAAGTTTGGTGTCTTATCGAAGACTAAATTGACTCGAAATGTTAATAGCTTTATACATACGAGTATGACTTCTTCGCAATCGGAACTTTATGGAAAAGTTATATTAAAATAATAAAATCTATGTCGACGAGAAGACCCGATCCTCGATCGGTAAAATATTAAGTTCAATTAAGTACTCGCAACAGTCGAAATACAACGAAGACTCTCTCTTTCACGTTCTCAACATTTAAGTTTGTTTTTTAAGTTATTTATAAAATACCGTTCTTCATCCAGAAAAAGTGTTGATAACATTTTTTGGACCATATATATTCAACAGATATTGCTAAATGATTGTAATTCTTTGCATGTAGTGCTAACGAGTTACTGTCCCAAAGAAACGAGTTATAATGTTCATCGATGAGAACAGCTAACAAGAACTACTCGGACATCTCTTTACAAGAGATTCAGTTTTCATTCGTCCACGTTGTTTCCACGCGGACGGACCAGCACCATAAATAATCTGTGATCTTTTAGATTTGGCACTCTCGTACTCTGTGCCATTACGCTTAAATTTTTCCTGAGCAACGGTAACGTTCATCACTGTTCTTTAGAGGCACTCAGAGGCACCTTTTTCCCCCATCGACTCCATGAAGGATGAAACGCATCGCCACAAATTTCGATTACAAATATATTAGATAGCGTTTTGATACTCGACACGTTTTGCGTTACATTTATTAGGTATTTCAAAGCAATATCAAGCTGCTTCGTAGCACGTAATTAGTTTCTTTTTCGTAAATTTCAGCAAACAAACGAATAGATCAACTTGAAGTATCTTCTACGAAAATTGTGGTGTATTATCTATAATCATAGATAACGTTACTGTATTCCATATAAAATATAGCTCGCTCGAGTACCAATGCACATCGAAGATATTGGTAAAAATAGATTTCGTTTCACCTTCTCTGATACACACAAACGTTATCGATTATTTACAAATTTTGTAGTACAAAATAAACTTTACGAATTTAACGAGTTAACCGCCTCTTTATGGGTATAGTAACCCCCTTTGTCTACCCTTTATCTACGTTCATTCTTAATTCATCGGTATACATATTTGCTCTCTCATGAAAATAGACTCTTCCTTCATCGCGAACTCCCACTAGCGTTGAAAGACGCTCTGATACGTGATACGGTTTACGGTTTACGGAAAAAAATGAACAAATTCCCTCCAAACAAAACACCTCAGGGAAGCAGGGAAAACGAGAAGCAGGAATAATATTTTTGTTGCGGGAGAGGAAGAGACGAGGATGAGGAGGAGGAGGAGGAGGAGAAGGTATATTCGAAGTAAGTCAAATAAAGGCACTATCTAACCAGGTAACGGAGCTTCCTCGTAGAAGTCTGGCTCGTCCTCTGTGCTCTCGTGTTCCGATCCTTTGCTGTCGAGTGCTCGTAGCTCGGCAGCTGTGAAAAAATGGGTCATTTGTGCCCTGAGAGGTATCATTAGAATCAGGAAGAACGGAAGCGTGAGGGCCGCTCTCGTGCTCTTCACGGTCCAGAGTATGGCCAGGCACAGAATCTGTATGAGCGTGAACAGGTGCATCTTATACGTTTGCACGCGACGGACGTAATTGGCGGTGCCGTGGTGTTTCACCGGCATGAAAAACAGTTTAACGCGATCGAACATTTGCACGCCGTTCGTCGACGAGATGCCCATGTAGAGAAACACTCCGAGGAGGACGGACATCGGTACGCGTCGCAACAACGGCGCCATCAGCACGCTCACGCCGATCAATACGGCGACCAACAGAGCGCTCACCCGTTGCTCCTTCACCTCGACGATGTGCGGTTTGTCGCCGGGTGCGTGAGTGCGGGACATCACCGTCACCGCCGACACGTGCGTCAGCGACCTGACGGAGGCGGCGCAGCACCACGGTGCGCCCATCAAACCACAGCCGACGTTCATCAAACAAACTACTACGATATCCATGTGGTAACCGTTACCTTTACGCAGCTTCCGCTCTTTCTTGTCGATGATCAACCTGGAAAGAAAGAGCAAGCTTTTAACGTTTCTTCTCGCAAGACTGACAATTTTCACGATCGTAACACCGATATTTATTTTGGTGAACTCATCGTTCCGGAATAAAAATTTTACCGCGATACTTGAACAATAATTATTTATCAAGCTGGACTCCAGCGGCCGTTCGCGGAAAGAACAAACACGAAAGTAACCCGTACTGTAAGTTTTATTTACAGACCGTATTCGATACGATCGCCGTTTCGCAATCGAAACGTCAACGACAGTTTACGCGTCATAACCGAATGTGCTAAAATAACACCGGCAACGCGTTAAATAATGTAAGACATCGATGCTTCGGGTTACGAAAATATCGCGATGCAAACGCACGTCGCATGGGACGCGAGTCGTTCCTCGAAAAAACTGCAACCTTCGTTCCTTTCCCTATTAACAAAAATCTTACTCGGAGATTTGAGTTTCCATGAAGACGAGAATGTAAACCAGCAACGCTGGCACGATGCAAGCCATGGTCATCCAGAGGGGAATGGGTTTGTGTACCCCGACGGGCGACACGATCCAACTTCTGCCGGGTTGCGTGGGCGACAGACCTTCCGGTACCAAGAGTTTCTCCGTTTTCACCATCGCCGCGAAGTCGATCAGCGCGAACACGATGATGCTGATCGGTACGCCGAAGTCGCCGAACGCTCTCCTGGCGCTTCGACCGAGGTAGTGACTGTTGCGAAATATTCGCAAGTAATATGCGCCGAGAAACGTGCCCAGACACAGAATGGTGCACATCAGCGCTGTGTTCGGTTGATTGATCAACAATCCGGCAACATTGCGACTCGGTATCAGGCTCTGCGGTTCCTCCAACGGGATAACGACCGCGTCGCCGGTTTTCGGCGACACGACCGTCATTTCCGTCACGTTCACGCTCGGGTTCCAGTATATCGTGTCGTTGGTATCGGGAATGAAACTGTACTCGTCGAGAAGCGGATTCTTCACGAAGTAGTTGTACAGCTTGATGAACGTTTCGACGATGTAGAGGAGAGAGATCAGACCCGTGAAGATCTCTTCGGTGAAGCGAGTGAAGAGTCTGACGAGCACTGAACCCTCCACGGAGGCGATGGCCAGCGCTATGATCCCCATCCACGCCCCCACGTACACTCGAACGGTTAGAAACTCGAGCTCGTTCGCCAGACAGAAGTTGTACAGACTCTCGTCGAACAGAAGGAGGGGACCGGTGGTGCCGATGATGACCAACGGTTGGGTGGAGAACAAGGCCATCACCACTCCGGTCCACGAACCAGAGACCAGGGTCTCCGATATACCGATCACGTCGTGGGTCTTGTCGCTCATCAGACCGCCGAACGTGATGGCCGTGCACAGAGCGGCAAAGTACATGAAGATGGCAGCTGCCAGGCAGGAGGAGTTCAAACCGTCCGTGAAGTCGGACAGGTAGAAAGGATAGCGTCTTTTGATGTCGTTGATGAGACCACCGAACGGACGTTTCGTTCTACGGAGCGGATCGTCGTCGCCAGGTGGTTTCCTCTCTTCGCCAACGAGAATAGCTGCGTAAAAGGAAGCGTGTCGTTTACATTTTTTACCGATACGATACTTGTTATGTATTCTTGTATGTCCAAGATTCACCATTTACCTTTCTTGATGGCGGCCTCGCTTTGGATCGGTTTGCTCTTCTCCTCGAGCGCCTTGGCCTTCCGATTTCTGATAGCCTCGCTCTTCGCCTTGAGCTCGTTGAATGGCAGTAACGCCTGCCGCTCCCAGTCACCAGGGGGCAGGACGATAGAGTCGTCGAGGAACTCGTTGATCGCGGACAGAAGTTCGCGCCTCTCGTTGGCTTTGTACGCGACTTTGTGAAAGGACGTGTTCGCCATCAAGGTGGCGATCGATCTACCGATCTCGTGGTAGTCCAGATCGGCGTTCCTTGGTCCCAGCAGGATGAACATGAATCTTACCGGTATAGTGATCTCCGTGATCGACGGAATGAACACACCCTCGGCGAGTCGAACGAAAGCGATCGTCGGTTGGTCCAGAAAGTCGACCGCGCCGACCAGGACGACCGTGGCTTCGGCGCCGGCCGGGATCCTCTTCAAGATGTAGTCGTTGTGGCCCTTTTTCAGGTCCTCGTTGCTGCCGGTGTACGTCAGCTCTTCCTTCATGTCAACGACCGTGTGGTTGCCGTCCAGGGCCAAGCTCGACGACAGGATTTTCGGCTTCGCGTCGTTCAAGTTCTGCAGGAGGTCGAACACGATCGTTTCGTTACAACAGAGTTCGGTAAATGCCCAACCGATTGATTTAATGATATGCATACTATGCGTTGGACCAGGCAAAAGAGGTTTCCGAAGGATTTTTGCTCCCAATGTTTTTGGACAAGCTGAAGAGAAAGTTTTGTGTTCCGCCAGAGGCGGATTATGCGATTTCCGAAGCGAAACATTGTTTTTCTTAACACGTCAACTACCAAGATGGTGATTAGTCACCGGATTTCATGCAATTTTATTCGCTTCGTACGAAGCAGAATATCCGCCTCTGTATGAAATTTTCTGAAAAACTCACGAATTTCCATCGGAATTATACAGCGTGTCCAATTCACCGTGAAAGTATCTCGATTATCCGGACGTTGAAGTTCGAAATATGTAATGCATTGGTGCTTCATTGAAATAAACAAATTTTCTCTACTTTGTTATATCGTTGGATCAATGGAGATATTTCAGACGATATACAGGGTGTTCAGCCACCCTTGGGAAAAATTTTAATGGGGGATTCTAGAGGCCAAAATAAGACGAAAATCAAGAATACTAATTTGTTGATGGAGGCTTCGTTAAAAAGTTATTAACGTTTAAAGTTCAGCTCGTACTGAATTTTTTTCTCGAAAATGCGCAAGATTTCGGGGGTATGTCTATTCACCAAAAATGATTGTAATTGACCCCCGCAATCGAAAATAATTTTTCCACGACGATTCGAAAGTTTTGAATTTTGTCGAAAAATTTCACACCTTCCCGAATTTTTTTCTCGAAAGTGGGTAGGATTTCGAGGGTATGTCTATTCACCAAAAATGATTGTAATTGACCCCCGCAACCGAGTATAATTTTTCCAGAACGATTTGAAATTTTTTTTTTCGCCGAAAAATTTGTCCACCTTCTTGAATTTTTTTCTCGAAAGTGCGTAGGAATTTTAGGTTATGTGTATTCACCAAAAATTATGGAAATCGACCCCCGCGATCGAAAATAATTTTTCCAGAACGATTCGAAACTTTTCAATTTTGTCAAAAAATTTGTCCACTTACTGAATTTTTTTCTCGAAAATGGTTAGGAATTCGGGGGTATGTCTATTCACCAAAAATGACTGCAATTGATCTCCGAAATCGAAAATAATTTTTTCAGAACTATTTGAAATTTTTTAATAACTTTTGAACGAAGCCTCAGTCGAGAAATTGATATTCTTGATGTTTGTCTTATTTTGGCCTCTAGAATCTCCCATTAAAATTTTTCCTGGGAGTAGCCAAACACCCTGTATAGGACTACTTGCATACTATAAGTTTAATGGCTACTTAACGTTCAATGGGTACTCAGGAGCGAATCCAGAATATTTTAAATATTTATTTTACACTTCGGCATTATAATAGAAATTCCTTGTATAATAATTTTGTTCAGATTTGATAACTCTGAGAAGGCGATCGACTCTCTGGATTCGCCCCCGTGTCCAAGCAGTAGTCGAAAGAGAAACGACACAACGGCGTATCAGAGTCGTTCGAGATCTCGGAACATGCGAGAATCACCAAACGCTATACGAAAGAATCTCTCGGTTCCTCCGGGATATTTTCGTCTCGCTGTTTCCGGGATCGCGAACGGGTCCATAAAACGTGCATACGCGTAACTAGGCTAAATACTGAAAGGAGAATAAAACTAAACAGATAATCGTTCGAAAAGTAAAAGTCTCAATGAATATGAAAGTGCGATCAGAAACTAGAACGGGTCAAGGCCACTGTAAGGGTGCAACGATATTCTCTGTGTCCTTGCTTCGAACACTAAAAAAACGAACATCAAAGAAGCGCTCTGTAAGTGCAGAATACAGAAAAATGTAATCGCAAACTACAAAAGCAGGGACCCCGTTGTAACCAAAATAAAGAAAATTTACGGGACAAGGAATTATCTTTCCGATCAAACGATTGAACGGGATAAACAATTTTCTTTTAAACTGGCGATAACCACTTCGATTCGATCGAAAAATAAAAATCGTAAAAAGTTTTTGGAAAACTTATTTTTGGTCCCTGCAGAGAAGAACGAACTGTACACGTATTCGTGTGTTGTTGCGTGAAATGCGAAACGAAAAGAAAAATGTAAAGTACAACGAGCTAATTAGCCAGACAATTATTTATCTACTAGGCGATTCTTACAGGACTAGCGCTAAACTCGTCTCGAAACTCTGTAAAGGTTCGACCGTGGATTAGCGCGTTCGAAAAAACATGGACGATTCGTTTTTATATTCCCGACGAGGTAGAAGATAGGAAGAAGCGACGAGAAAAATGTGGGAAAACACACTCATTCCCCTGTAAGTTCATGCCGAATAGATGTTAATGCGAATATCGGTGTGATCGGCGATGGGCGAGGCATAAACTAGCGAGTAAAGTTGAAAATACTGCGTTCGAGATTCGGGAAACGAGAGATTTACATGTTGGGTTACATGGTTCTCAGAGGCTTCCCGCGCAGCGTCTTCTTCCTCCAGACAGAAAGACTGTGGAAACAACATTAGGACACACCGTCAGTCAGGCCTCCCGTCTCTACGGATTTCTAACGATTATATCCGACGGTTAGGATTCGTGCAACAACGTTGGTCGATCTTTTATCGCGATACGAACGCGTCGCGTTCGATAAACTACGTATCACGACTCTAATACTATCGGGTCCTTGCGTTCGTTAACGTTAACAACATTACAACACGCGCGAGGCGTTTATATCTGGATCGGGGAATCCCGTACGATAATCAGAATACCGAACGATACAACACATTCAATGCGTATCTGTTAAAAACAGCGACTGTGAATACATATCGAGCAGCTCACAAAAGTTGTAATAGTGGAAAAAGGCACGCGCGACTCCGCGAACCGAACAGTTTACCTGAAGGCTGGTGTAGCTGGAATAGTTCCTCTTTCCACCGAACCGGAAACCGCGATCGTGATCGTGCACGTGCCTGTGTCTGAGGAGCAGAGCCCTCATGATCACGGGTCTGTCCTCGGGCAGGATCAGCTCCTCGACGACCATCTGCTCGACCACTCTGTACGCCAACCCGGGCAGATCCTTCTCCTCGAGATCGAGAAGAACCACCCCGGTCTCCAAGCAACGTCTTAGATTCAACAAAGAGTGGAAGCTCAACGAAGCCACGTGGGGCCTGCCCCATCTATCCGCCCCCTCTTCCACGTCCTCCTCGTATTTGATCCATCTCGCGGTTTCCCGCCACTCGCGTTCCTCCCCGAGCCCCTGGAGCTCGTCCAGCTGGACGAACACCTCGTGCGGCGAGTGATCGTACATCTTCTTGAAGGTGTCGTGGGGTATACCGCCCTCTTTCCTGCGCCCGATCTGCACGGTCGAGTGGGCCGCCTTGTGTCGCCTCATACCCCGTGGATCGTCGCTTCTGTGCGACTCCAGGTCGTCGATGTCCAGCTCCTGCAACGTGCTCGCCTCTTCCGGCTGCACGCTCACCCTCCTCGCGAGGACGCCCGCCCCGTCCGGGAGCCCAGCTCCCGACCGTTTCCGCCATTGCGGATCCTCTTGAAGCGAGTACTTCCGCGACTTGTAATGGTGTCTTCTACGATAAAGAAACGGAACTCAACGATCGAACGATATATTAAACTGTACAAACGTGAAAAGTAACTATAGCAATGACAATTAAGGGGTTGGGTTCGTCTCCGGCCAGAGGCACACGGCGTTTTTATGTTATTCCCTGTCTCTTACTTGTCTTGTCTCGTTGGTCTTGTCTGTCTTCGTTGTTTTCATTTGCAAGGAAGAACATAAAAACGCCTTTGTTTCGATGACCGTTACCCTAACTTTAACGTCCCATCAGAGACGAAATTGGATACTAGCAAGATATATATATATATACGCAGCGATATCGTTGAGGCTCGAAGTTGCCTTTATCTTTCGTCGATCGTCACGGTCGACAACCGAAGAAAAGGATAGAGGTGGGTGGGAAAGAATGAGAAAAAAAACATCGTCTTTCACGCCTCGCTGGCACCAAGGGGGATCCCCCCATTTGGGAGAGAAACGTTCAACTTACAAATTCGCGGAATTACGTCTGGAGTTTATTTTAAGAATCGTTACAGTAAACGTTACAAGATCAAAGTTTTCAATCTTACGAATATTCTTTCACCGACGTCCTGCTTTCGACTGATTTTTTAAAACCGCGTAAAAGAGTAAGAATATCCCCTGGTCGTGCTTCTTTCGTTACTTTGCATCCAATTTGTTATTAAAAATTCACGTCTGTTCCTATTCCCCGTTGCTCGCATTTTCTGTACCCGACATCGTCCTACCTTGAGTATAATAAAGTGGTTGGCTAACGTCGGCTGAATAAAACTTTCCGGTGTTGCAAAGATCAACGATACACGTGTGTGTTTTGCCAGCGGCCCAGCAAAATGCAGCGAACAATGCCGTCGTCGTTGACACGAGGCACGCGACCGAGTGCCAGAACTGTTTTTGCGCTTGACCCTGGCAGTCAGTCCGCCTAGTTTGCCATTGATGAAGATCAGATGGATCGGCCAGATCTTCGTCGCGGGAAGTCAAACCGGCGGCGGAGATTTTCAGCCACACGTTCGCCGATTTGTTCGTTTATAAAGTGATGAAAAATACTGATAGTGAAATATACGAATATAAACGACCGATGAATTTTTCTACGAGTTGCGCGCGCACGGTTAATTAGTGCACGAGAACGCGCGCGTACGTGTATGTGTGTATGTGTGTGGTATTAAAGTTTTTTAGTGACGTCACATTGTCGATACAGTCTACAAAACGAATACGTAGAATCTTTTCTCGCGCGCACGTTCGATATCATAGAGAACGTTCGATTCGCGCAGAAATAAGACTCGTGCATTACCAGAAACGGGAAAGAGATACTTTTTGAGCAGTCTGATGCGACCAATGTCCACGTTGTAGCGATCCGGGCGGCCATAATACTGCTGAGCCATGCCGATGAGCAAGGGCCAAACCGTCACATTCGTCGCACCGTGATCACCGAAAGACCGGAGACGCGATCGAACTAATTAGAAGAACGCGAAGGCAGTGGCCTCGAGCATCAGACTCTGCCGGGTACTAGCTCGCAGAGACAACGCGAATCTCTGGCCGAAGGCCATAACATTAGACAGCAATCGCGAACTGGTTCGCATCCCTCCCGCTAAACATCGTTGCAATTATCTAATGCCGAAACCGCCGACGGAAGTCGAATTGTACGAATCGCGACACCTACGCTCTCGGCCAAAAAGACACCACCGTCCGTGCTATCTTTAATATTTCTCTAGCCTTTGTCCCTAAAATTCACGTGCTCCGAACCAGCGGTTCTCAACCTATGGGATACGTCAATCGAACCAAATTATGTCGAATTTTTAAATTATGCACTCTATTTCGTTATTCGTGGCATGTCCGAATCTGTGATTTTGTAAGTTTGCGTAAATAACGAATTACATCCGCAACAAGGTCTTGGCAACCGTTAATGTAATATTTCCACTGGTAAGAGCATTAATTTAAGTCCTATGGCGACAGACTATGAGCATCGTCGTGACGAAGAAGATTCGAAGCGCGGATTATGGTCAAATAAATCGTTCGCGATTTGTCTCACGTGCAAACTATTACATTGTGAAACATTGCGTACATCAGTCTCGGAATATTTTCGTTAGCTCGATGTGCAGCGGCTGTGTGACAATCGCTTGGCATATCACGTTTAGGGAGGTGTTTGCCTACAACCTGGATAGCGCTTAATTGGTCGGAGCCTTCTAATCCGGGTTCGTACCCCCGGTTAAGCAAACCGACTGGCTCGTTCCTTTTCCTCTGCGTCGTTAACGCTTCATCGATTCGCAGAACTTATACCTATTGGCCACTTTCACGGCGTGCTAAAAGGCCCGTACAATTTAACAACAATTTAAAGTATAAAGAATTCTGTCCTTGACAACGTATATAAAGGTCAAGGCCATCGGGCCATTCTTCCCCGATCTAAATAACTGCTTAAAATAAAAGCTTTAAAAACGAGATCGAGTGTCCGAACTTGTGATCCAAAAGGAACGCGAGATCGACAGACGGTCCGAGATTGTTGCGCCGCAGACCAAATTAAACAGTCGAGCGCAACAAAGCCCTCAGCACCTAGGAAACCGTTTTACAGTCTGCCACCTCATAAACTGGGATTTTTGGGCAGATGTGTGCCACACGTGCCTGGCACGGTCATACATCGCTTTTAACCGTCAGCCGTTGCAAGCTGATTCCAAGAATCTCAAGAAAATTAAACGCAACTTTGTAAATTGAAATAAAAGACGATATTTTTTAAATTAATACAGATTTTGACGACCAACCAATTTTTTTAAAAGTATATTTGCAAGGGATCGAAGTCGACTCACTTGTGCTCGTGTTTCTGGTGCCTCCGACACTTCCGGTCCTCCTCGTGGGGCCCGGATGCGACGACTGTCTGCGCGTCGTCCTGCGGGGGCGTAGGAACATCTTCCTCCTTGATATTTTCGAACTGAACTCGCGGACTACCAACGGTTGCATTGTCGGTGAAACCGGAAGCGGCCCTCTCCGAGATCGGCGCCTCGCTCTCACTGCTGACAACGTTCTCCGTTTCCTCGGCGGTTTCCTCGTCGACGTCGTGTCCGCTGCCCAACGACAACCCGTTGTCCATCCCGTCTATCTCTTGGCCGCCACCATTGCCTGCACCGGCCTGACCGTTCTCCTCTTCTTGGCCAACTTCCGCTGTGGATCCTTCGCTGCAAACACGACGGAACACGCGCTTTTTCTTTCACGTTTGCCTTCTTACTCTCATCGAGCATTAACACGTTGACTGCCAGTCTAAAATCCTAAAATTGTTTACGGGACCAAAACTCTGATTTTAGGCAATTGTAAACTGCGCAACTTAAAAGTTGTCGTAATAGTTACTTTTCTAACCTAATTAAAATTTACGAAGCCTATTAAAATTGATTTTCTTTAACATTTCAACTTAAGAATTCATTGTTTTAATTCCACTGTTAAAAGTTCTGTCAACCAAATATGGGTGACGTGGCAGTCAGTGTTAATTAACAGAAAAATTCCAAAGACTTACGGAGAGAGATGTCGTCGCATAGATCTGGAATGGATGCTTTTCAGGGGCATATACGGATGAGGATAACTTCTCTTTCGGTGCTCTGAGAGAAAAATATACGGAACGAGATGTAAATTATTCTGCTTCAGAAATTTAATAGATCGATTGCCTAATCGTTGATACGTGACGCAACCAGATTTCTCCATACGTACGATTGAAATCGCGATCGCCATATCGCGGTGGTGGTCCTCGATCCCGATCTCGATCTCGATTGGATCCAGCCGATTCTGTAGGTGATCCGAGCCGGGCTACGTCGAACCTCTCCCCAGCGTCCATCGCGAAAACCTTCTCCATCTCCTCGTCCAGTTCCGGTCCCGTTTCCATGCCATGACCGTCGACCTAATATCGAGAAAAGGAAACGTTGGAAGGTTTCTCTCAACATTTCCAATGTTATTCGACTACAAAGCGTGCTTTTTCAACAAGGAAAGTATCGTTTGAGAATTTATTTAAGAATCTTTACGTAAGACTATACAACAAACGAATACGATACAAAATGGCCGTAGATTTTCCAATCGATGCTGTTCAGCGTTTACGTGTACGTTTTTAGCTAAATTTGAATTAACTCTCGTAGTCGTTTTTTCGTTTCGTCTCGGTCTATATCGCGTTCAACAAGCTCGCCGTCGACATTATTATAGGTAGTTGCATAATATCGATCTGTTCCGAAGGAAAGAGACAACACCTCCGAGCAACGACGTTTGTTCTTGACAAGCTAATACTTTAAGCGGTAAGCTTTTCGCGGTTAAACGATATCGTATTTGTCGAAGGGGAACACGACGAAAATTAACTAAGCTTTGAAGTTACTTGTTTCCAATTGTCGTGTGAAAGTTCTGGTCGTGACTGATACGAACAACTTTTATTTCGCGTAACTGTTACGACTGTTACACATGCATCTATACTAAATTATTATGACTATTTAGAAAACTGCTGTTTTCCAGTTGGAGAAAGGTATAAGTTCAATTATAGGAAACAATATAGTTAATATAAAATTCTAGTACAAAGTTTGAAGTCAAGTTCGATCGAGTTTATGAAAGCATCGATTCGAATTTTTCGAACGAACGCCCCGATAAAGCATGCACTCGAGCTCGTCCTTTGCGTTACGAAATTGTTTTGACAGACTCTCTCGCGTAGAAAAATCTTGATCGATCTCTTAAAAAATGTGGAGATAACAGGATGGAGGATCAATTGATCGTTACTAGTGTCATTAATCTCGAGAAACGATACTTTTATTCACGATACATAATCGAGGATAATCCATGAAAATTTAATGAGACATGCTTAGGAAGGTCGAAGCCATATTTCCCTGTACGTTGGTCGATATTCGCTTTCGAACTTCGGTCATTATACCCCACACGCGATTAATAAAGTAACCTAAGCTCGTCTATCACGCATTTGCATTATAAGAGACCTGAAATGCAATTGTAAATGCAAATGTACCTAGTTTGGTAATGCCCTCGGTTCAATAATCACAGAATTGACCTACTGAAAAGAATTAAAAATTGTGAACTCTGCCCGCCAATAGCTTGCTTTTAAATAAATTATTATTTTCCAGAGAAGCATTTTTATCGATTTAATTTTTCTCTCCGCTGTAAAATATAGCGTCAAGCGAGGAATTAAACGAAAATAACTTACGTCATTGGGAGGCCCATCGATAAATAATGTTGTTCACTTTTGACGTCGAAGGGACCCCTTTTCCAATGGATCGAGAATGCCGAAGAATCGAACACGTTAAAAAAAATCGAAAATTAAAATCGCACAAGATGGAATGGAATCTCCTGGGACGAAATAAGTATGCTTCAACGACGACGCCAAATTCTCTTTTGCCGATGTGTTAAAGGGTATAGCCGAATAAGGGGGTCAAATGTGTCCTTGAACCAAATTTGACATACGATAGATCCATCGATAGAGCATCGGAATCGAACGTTCTATGTCAAGTTTGAACCCTCTATCTTGTTTGGAAGGGCAGTTGTAGGGAAAATTCGGATGATCGAATTTCTGACTATTTCCCGTATTTAATTTAGTACGAAAATTACGTAAACAATCTGGTTATCGCATTGCGGTTATCGAGATACGCGTCCAAGAATTTTTTTAAAAGCATATTGTCATTGGTTATGCCTCTGAATTTTTTCAGATTTTTTGCTAGGGTTATATTCAAAGGTATAAACAGTATTTCCAAGAGCTGCGACGGTGCAGCGAGTAACATGTTCGACTATGGATACGCTGCATATCTTTTTTTATTACATTAATTATATATTTTTTAAATTTTCAAACAAATGACAATGAAATGTTTTAAACTCTCATGCCTTTGATAACACTGAGCAGAGGAAGAAGATTATTCTCGAACGATGAATTAAAACGTACGTGGAAGTTAGTTTACGAATAAAATTTGCCCAACGTGCAACGAACGACGAGAAATCAGCTATTGGTACGATAAATTGAAAGAGAACGCGATTCGACTCGAGAGAAACCGATAGAAAGACCGAACAATTGCTACGAACTTTAGAATTACCTCACTTGATATAATACATCAAATAAATATTATTATTAATTCAAAGTAAGAACTCGAAACACTCTGCCGAACCGATTGAACGGGTTAGACGAGTCCAAAATTTAAAGAGCGACCCATCGACGTTAGTGAGAATTCGAGGAGAACGGGGGAATCACTACTGCAAACGGAATTCAACAAGACACTGAACAGAGTATACAAAAAGGATTATCTTCGATGGGGTGGCGTCCCGATACCGGAAGATTTCCGCCAGCGAGTTCTCGCTGTCAACGTCGACGCGATCTTCTATCCTCGAAATAGAAAAGGAAGTCGAGGATCAGCAGAGTGGTTCCGAGAGTCCATGGACAAACGGTTCCAGTCGCATCGCGGACGCGCACGGAGGGACAAGGTTCGAGGGTAGCTTTCAAGGTCCCGGAATCGGAATCGGAATCGGTATCGGTTGTCTGGTTCCTCGACGAGGTTAGCAGCAATATTGGCGAATCGTTGAAACACACTGTTAACAGTCGAACGCTGAGAGAAGGAGAGCGTGTTCCGTAATCGCGTTCAGGGTACGAGAGTCACTGTCACACAAGGTAAGGTATCACTTGATGGTTCGTCCGCAGAGATCGGCGTAACCAGCGGAGAAACTTGCCCGATGTCCGTGGGAGGAACGACTTCCCGGAGGAGTCAGCGGCGACCTCGGCCATGGCATCCCGGGCCAAAGTGCCACCCGGCCGGTCGGCTCGTGCTCGCAGCTCGAAAACTCAAACTGACGGAGAGGGTAGCGCCGCCACAGACCGACAGACAGAGACCCGCGGGAAGCTCGTGGCGGGGATGGGCTGTACGCCCGGAGGGCAGAGGGCCGGCCCGGTCGATATCAACCCCATGCGTCGCGCCAGACGGATCTCTCCACTGAAAAGTTACCCCCGTCTCTCTCTGACCGATCGTGCTTCTACCGGGACATCGCCGGACCGACCGACTTCCCTGCGCGAGAAATGCGATCTCCCGACCTCGTCCCCGTACCTGTTCGGATTAACGGGATTCTTGGATTACTCTGTGCCAACCACCGGATCGTGACGCTGCTAGCAATGGGGGCTGCTCGATTCTCAGCTTTGAAACGATTCCAAGTTTTTAAGAATGTAAAGATTCGAATACGATTCTGAGGCTATCGAAGGTCTTGAATACGAAGTCTAGTGTCAAGTATTTTTACAAGAGTTACTAGGATTGTACTTTATGTACGAAATTAAATTTATTTGCAATAGATGTGATAGTTGGGTATAGTTTTTATGACGTGATCGAGCCCCGGTTCTAGTACGTCACGGATAAAAGAATGTAGTACGCGCGGATAGGTCCGGAAATGAGTGTACCGAAAGATAGGTTAGCCATTGGTCGATGCTGTGGATGCAACAAGTGTCAGTCGGCCGTGAAATCTGCCCCCTGGAGGGGCTTGACGGAGCGTTGGAAGCGGATGGAAAGAAGGAGAAAACAGCGGGTGGGAGAAAGAAGGGGCACGAGAAGAGGGGTGGCAAAGTACCGTAGAGTGGTTTCACCGACCAGGGGGAGAGAAAGCTCTCAGCTGGCGGGTGCAGCTGGTGGAGACGCGAACCGGACCAGCGCAACCTGAGCGAGGCCTAGGTCACACCAGGGGCTTATCGACCGATAGCAATGGTTAGAGAGGGGACAAACACCTCTTTCGATACCACTAACTAACACCTTTGGTACTACTCTAGTCCCTCGTAACACGACAACTGGACATAACCACAAAACGTGTTCTGAGATTCAATTTTTCACCACCGATGACGTCAGAAGTAACGCCGAGTCTTGATTCGCAGATAAGCGCATGACACGAAACCGAAAAGGCACGGTTCGTCGAGCTGCATACCAGGCGCATCGGCGAGGATGACACGTACTAAGAAAAGAATATGGTCTCGCGTCACGGAGACAGGTAATTCGCTGTAATCGCAAGTCTCAGGCGACGGCTAATCAAAACCATCGGTTGCATTATTAATTGATCGCAGCGAGTGCACAGCTGCGGAGTAATGAATTATAAAGTCGATCGACATCGCGATATAAATTATGGCCGATCGGAGGATCCCGGTTCTCATAACCCGCTACAAAGGTTAACTTTATTTTCGTAACGAGTCGATTTTGGAAACCGATGCACATCAAATGACAATGACTTTGAGTGACACGAACAAATGGCTGAATTATAAATTGCGTTCAATTTTCTCGAGCAATCTATGATTCCAATTACGTAATGCGTTTCGTCCCTGAAACTTGGAAAGTCGACCTTCGACGGTGCCTTTTTAATAAATAGATTCAAGACTGTCTTCGCCCGTCTATTATACGAAAGTTTCGACGAACTCTGCGATCGACGTTCGGAGGGATCTTTTTCCGCGGAAGTCGGCCTTCGAAGGCACAACGTCGTTCGAATTAAGGCCGATTTTACTCTCGCCCCAGAAAGAATACACTTTCCGTCGAGCAACGGCATAACAAACGGTGCATCGATTTTCATCGAGCTTTCCAGCGGTTGTAGGGGTCGGAGGAGAAGAGAGACGAAGCAGAGAGGCTGTGTGCGCGATTCAGATTCAAGGTCATAGGAGCAGGAAGCGAGAGATACGTACGCGTGCAAACGTATACGCTATCAGCGACGAGGAAGCCCCGGTCGATGATAGAAAAGCTCTCCGTCACCGCTCCTTTTCCGTTTTCCGTGGGCAGCGCAGCGCCACCTAACAACCACCCCTTTCTTTCGAGCGGTTCGTGTCGTCGTAACCGGCAACTCACGACGACCACCGACCACGGATCGTAATTCGTTAAGGGGAGATTTCTCGTGCAACAAACGGGGAATCTAACCCTT